GAGGGAGAGAGGGAGGGAAGGAAGAGTAGGAAGAAAGGAAGGAGGGAGGGAGTAGATTATGAGAGTGGAGGGAGGGTCTCAGGGAAGTCCTGCCTTAGCATTTGGCCACCACAGGTGTCCCCGACACAAGTGACGTCCAGCTGGCCACGCCCACCCTGGCCACAGCCGAAGTCCAACACGACCCTGATGTGTCCCTCAATGAAATTGAGCTTGACGCCCCGCTCTAGAAAGATCCAAGCTGGCCTTGGCAACCCCCTCAGTTTAAAGGCGCAATGCCCAGCTTGAGACGGAACTTACCGTAAGTCTCCGTCGTGATTCGGCGCTGAGCGTAAGTGGCCAGCCCTTCGCTCAACCACATCTCTTCCCAGGTGGCATTGGTGACGGCGTTGCCAAACCAGCTGTGGGCTACTTCGTGGATGATGTCGATGATGAGGAACTCATCGCTCTCCAAGATGGAGGAGATGACGAAGGTCAAACATGGGTTCTCCATGGCGACGATGGGGAACGAGGGAGGGAGGAAAACGATGTCGTACCTGGAAGCAAGAGAAGGAAATCAACTCGGATCAACCTGCAAACCTTGAAGCCATCATTCTCAAAGCAGGAAGACAAGACAGACAGGCGAAAAAAAGGTAGGCATGAATAAAATTCCCTCACAAATTGCCTCACTTGTTAAACAAATCACTGCAGTTGTTAAATTAGTAAGGTGGCCGTTAAGTGAATCCGGCTTCCCCAATTGGACTTTGCTTTTCAGAAGGTCGCAAAGGGTGATCACACGACCCCAGCAGGACTCTGTAACCGTCATAAATATGAGTCAGTGGCCAAGCATCTGAATTTTGACCACGTGACAATGGGGATGGTACAACAGTCAAAACTGTGAAAAACGGTCGTATGTCCCTTTTTTTCAATGCCATTGTAACTTCGGTCACAATGCGAATAGTTAAAAAGTTGAGGACTACTCACATTAATTAAAAATTGATATAAAAGAAAAAAGGTTTATAAATCCAGGGTTGGGGGTTAATGTCACTGGAGAGCAACGGCTGCCTATCAAGAATCTCTTGTGATCCAAGGTATATCCTGTCTCTCCTCTATACCCTGTTAGTAATCCTAACCCAGTAAATTAAGATGAAAGGAAGAAACTGATTTTATTTATTTATTTATTTATTTATTTATTTATTTATTTATTTATTGAATTTATATTGCTGCCTATTCGAGGTGGTTTACACAATGTAAAACCACATTTAAAATAAAAAACAAAAAACAATAAAAACTAACAAAAAGAGTCAAATTAATAAAGTACAATAGAACAAATCTGGAAAATATATATAGTTTTTTAAATCACCCCCAACTCCCACCCTCCGTCCCAACAACAGCAAATCACACGAGCCATTTGATGGGCTCCATCCCGCTCTGGGTTCCCCATGGCACAGAATCAGAGTGTTAGAGTGGCGGCCATTTTAATTTCTGAGGGAATGATGTTCCATAGAGAGGGAGCCACCACAGAGAAGGCCCTTCTTCAAGGCCCCACCAGGTGTATCTCCCTCAGGGATGGGACCCGGAACATTCCCTGCTCTGATGGGTTGGGTAGATGTGACCGGCAAGAGACGTTCCCTCAGATAACCTGGTCCCATTTTGCAGCTAAATGTGAAATATTGTCCCAAAGGTGCTTTTTCCAGAGGCAACTGGACTTTCTGGTTTTTCTTTGAAGATGTTTCGCTTTGCATCCAAGAAGCTTCTTCAGCTCTGAAGAGATGGTGGGGAATGGAAAGATTTACACTCTTTGCAGACAGCTGGTCATTTGCATCTTTTTTAGAAGGTCATTGAGGCCACTTGGAGGTTCGTCTGTGTCCTCAGGGCCACCTGAGTGGTGCAAATGGATGTGGAGCCTTCTTGGAATTGCTGAAAGGATTGTGTTGTAGATTGACGCCAGTGAGGCTCCACACCCATTTGCACTATTCAGGTGACTCTCGGGACACAGGCAAACCTCCATGTGGCCTCAATGACTCTGTGAAAGGATACAAATGACCAGCTATCTGCAAGGAGTATAAATCCTTCCATTCCTCACCATTCAATTAAAGCTGAAGAAGGTTCTTGGATGAGAAGCAAAACGTCTTCAAAGAAAAAACAAGGAGCAAGGGTCTTTTAATTTCATGGCTGCTATCACCGTTGGCAGTGATCTTGGAGCCCCCCAAAATAATAAAACCTGTCACTGCTTCCATTTCTTCCCCTTCTACTTGCCAGGAAGTCATGGGGCCAGATGCCATTAACTTAGTGGGATTTTTTTTAAGTATTATGCACGCTCTACTACATACGGAAAACATTTCTGCAAAAAAATAATAATTGTTATCTATATATATCAAAGTGAAATGCCACTCATAAATCACCACAAAATTCTCCAGAATTGTAAAGCCTACAAACTTGAAATTTGGCAACTATGTTCCTCTTGGCTTCTAGGGGATCACTAGGAAAGGATTTTTTGAAATGACAATCAGAGCATTAGTATTTCGTATATTATTATGAACATGCTCTGATGCTAAGGAGTTCTACTCCCCCTCCCCACCTGAAAAGAAATCTGTTCCAAATGCAAAACACAAGCAGAAGCAGTTTTACTTTCATAGCACCAAGCAGCTTTAGTACAGACCAGTTGAGCTAAGCCATGCCCAGGCTCCTTGCTGTCTCCCTTCTTGCTCACACAGCAAATACTGTTTCAGTTTCCAAACAGCCCTCCACTTTCTCACACACTGACAGGACACTAGCCAGATGAATACCGATGGATGCTGGTAGGCAGAGGCAGAACTCCCCCCCTCCCATTTTCCTCCAAAAAAACTAAGCCCAACCACATAGTTTTGTAGCGCAGCACGGGTACAGAGCTAGTTATCTATATTCTTAGGCATGCATGAATACTCTGTGTATAAGTATAAAAAGGAACCATTCTTGTCTTCAGCCTCTATTTCTCACCACGATGATATCAAGAGAGCAAAACGTGCAATGTCACATCACAAGATAAGCTCTGCCTTTTTCAGCCTGCGTTGCGAGTTGCACGTGAATACAGAAGGAACAGAATTGGCACCCCAACATGCATTTCTTTCCTCTCGTCCCAGCGGAGACCTATGCATGCTATAATGAGCTTACCTGCCCCATATGTAGGGCCCGTAGAGGGTCTCTGCAGCGCTGAGCCAATGCTCCACCCGACCTGAGAGTTTGCCGATGGCTGTGGACAAAAGGCATGGCTCGGCCCAGACTTTGCTCCTGTTTGCAAAGAAGGCAGAAAAACAACAGATAACAGATAATCAGAGTTGGAAAGGACCTTGTAGGTCATCTAGTCCAACCCCCCACCCAAGCGGGAGACCCTAAACCATTTCTGACAGATGGGAGTCCAATCTCTTCTTGAAAGTCTCAAGTGATGGCACACCCACAACTTCCGAGGGCAACTTCTGTTCTGTTAGTTGATTATTCTCCCTGTCAGAAAGTTTCTCCTTGTTGAATTTCTCCTTGTTCAGTTTCCATCCATTGTTCCTTGTCTGGCCTTCAGGTGCTTTAGAAAATAGCTTGACCCCCTTCCTCCTCTCTGTGGCAGCCCCTCAACTATTGGAAGACTGCTATCTTGTCTCCCCTGGTCCTTCTCTTCCCTAGACTAGCCAGGCCCAGTTCCTGCAACCATTTGTCGCATGTTTTAGCCTCCAGTCCCCTCATCACCCTGGTTGCTCTTCTCTGCACTTTTTCTAGAGTCTCAACATCTTTTTTAACAGTGCGGGGACCAAAACTGGATGCAGTACTCTAAGTGTGGCCTTACTAAGGCTTTATAGAGTGGTATCAGTACCTCCCTTGATTTTGATTGTATCCCCCTGTTAATACAATTTAGGATTGCATTGGCTTTTTTGGCTGCCTCTGCACACTGCTGGCTCATATTTAGCTGGTTGTCCACTAAGACTCCAAGATCCCTCTCACAGAATTCACACTGGGGCTTAGCACAAATTTGGCAGTCCTGCTATGGAGGTGCAAAGTAACACTTTAATTGCACACTTTAAAGAAGGTTCACAATTCCAATATAAGTAGTCCTCAACTTATAACAGTTCACTTAGCGATTGTTCAAAGTTACAACGGCACTGAAAAAGAGTGACTTACGACCATTTTCACACTTACGACTGTTGCAGAAACCCCACAGTCACGTGATTTAGTGATGCTGGACAACTGACTCACATTTATGACGGTTGCAATGACCCTTTTTACGACCTTCTGACAAGCAAAGCCAATGGGGAAGCCAGATCCATTGACCAACAATTGTATTACTAGCTTAACAACTGCAGTGATTAACTGAACAAACGTGGCAAGAAAAGTTGTAAAATGGGGCCAAAACTCACTTAACAAATATCTCACTTACGAACATCAATTTTGGGCTCAATTGTGGTCGTAAGTTGAGGACTACCTGTGGTCAACTCATAAAATATTCCTCTGGTCTTTTTAGAGTTGCCAACAGAAAGGTAGCGGGGAGCAGTGCGGCAGCTTGCAAACCGAAACTGCATTCTATAAATGTTTTCAAAGATAGTAACTAGATGACCAAAGTTTCTGACACGTGAAATTCTAACTAGAAAGCATGATTGATGACTCTGGGCTATGGATGTGTCCCATTGAAGAATATGAATTATGATACACCCAGGGGGTGGGGGAAAACTAGGGTCAAGGATGACAAGGAATGATGTGTCTCAGAGTCGGCTACACCTAGGCAGTGCCGGCATGTTACCTCCCAATAAATCCTTTTGAAGTTTTGGAAGTTTGGCTCAAGACTCAGGATTTAATTGGGAGAAACTGCCGGAATCCTGACAGCTGTAGTTTATAACTGCATTCTTTAGCGATAGCACTTCTGGTCTGAATTGCAGTCATAACTCAAGGACTCCCTGTATGGCTTGCCACAAATTGTTGAACTGCAATTCCCAGACTCTTCAGCAAGCACAGTGGTTAAGATACAGCTTAGCAATATTCCTGCCTTCCATCATCCCTGCCTAAATCAGAGCAGGGTAACTTACCTAGGACCAACCTCCGCAGCAACAAGATCCCCGGCCACCAGAGCCACCAGGTAAGCAGGAATGGGGTACTCCATGTAGAACTGGTATATGCCATCTTCTTCCTCATAGGTACTTTGGGTGGCACTCATTAACACCTGCATACCTGCAGGGGCCTGTGAAAAAGTAAAACAGAATAATAAGAGTTGAAAGGGTTCTTGGAGGTCCTCTAGTTTAGAGGTCGTCAACCTTTTGGACCTCGGGGACCACCAAACTCATCATTTTAGATCCCAGGGACCACTAACCGGTTCTGTGGGCGTGGCCTAATTTGTGGGTGTGGCTTGGTGGTCATGTGACTGACTGGGCATGGCTTGTATGTAAATATTATAAATATTTATATAAATATTGATTTTTTTTATAAAAAAGAACAACTTTTACCCCAAATCAGGCAAAGCAGGCAGGCAGATTGAGTTGCTCACGGAATCACAGATTTATTCAGAGGTCTATCCATCTGCCATTGGTTAGCTCAGTCTGTCACATAAAATTTGCTTGCAAGCAAACTCACAAAATTAACTCACAGCACACCATGCATGTAAATATTGCATTTTTTATTAAAAAAAGAGCAAATTTTACCCAAAATCAGGCAAAGCAGGCAGGCAGATTGAGTTGCTCACAGAATCATTCAGTGATCTATCTGCCATCGGCTAGCTCAGTCTCTCAAATTTGCTTGCCGTGAGCCTGCACTGGATTTGCTTGCACGCAAACCTTCAGTCCTAAGGGAGGTTCGGCTGTGCTGAGCTGAAGAACTAAAGACTAGCTAGAAAGCAAGAAATCCAACCATTTCCTGCTTCCTACTAATCTAAATCTCCCGGCACAGCAGAACAGCTGATGGTCGGTAAAAGGAAAAATAGCAACTTAGCAGACAAGTTTGCCCAGTAAGGAGTGAGTGGGCGGGTAGGGTTCCCGCGGACCATGTGGGCGATACAGCCTTGTGTTTCTGCGCAGCCTGGATTAATTGCTTTGTGGGGGTGCTCTGAGGGTGAGATTTCTCTGCGGCCCACCAAAATTTTCTCACAGCCCACCAGTGGGCCACAGCCCACCAGTTGGTGACCACTGCTCTAGTTCACCCCATGGCTAAAGGACACGCTATACCAGTGATGGTGAACCTATGGCACACGTGCTTGAAGTGGCACACAGAAACATCTCTCCGGGCACGCCAGCCGTCACCTGTTGCTCTTCCGGTTTCTGGCACACGCATGCATGCCTGCCAGCTGGTCTTCACGCATGCAGGAGCACCGGAAACTGGAAGAGCAGCTCCCCGGTGCATATGTGTGCTGGCAAGCTGGTCTTCACCCACGCATGCACGCCAGAAACTGGAAGACCTGGAAACCAGAAGCTCAGCTTCATGAGCGCTAGAGAGCTGCTCTTCTGGTTGCCATCCCCGCGCGCACACCAGTGTTGCGATTAGCCAGCAGCAGGTGCGGAAGGCTGAGGAGAGCGAGGAGTCCGATGAGGGGCCAGGACCGTTAGGGACTGGACTGCTGCCTTCAGAGATTGTGGGGGCTGGCAGCAGCGAGGAGGAGGTTCCCGAGGAGCCTGTGCCAAGTGTGCGTGCGCGCAGGATTGCTAGTAGGAAAGAACAGTTACAACAGCACGGGCGACTCGGGAGTAAGGCTGCAAGGTAATGGCCCCTCCTTCAAGAAGATAAAAGCCAGCTGTGAAAGGAACGTAGTTTGCAGAAGGCAAAGACGTTTTGAAACTCCAGCCTCGCGAACATTCCGGTATCCTGAGTTTAAATTTGAAGCTTCTTGTATTGTACATTATTTCTTGTCTGTTATCTTTTGGCAAGTCTCGCACAGTTTGGCAAGGCTTGTGCTTATCACAGCTAATTATTTTGCAGAAGCATTAAAAGGTTTCTGTTCCTTTTGGCTTGTGTTTGATTTGTTGGGAAGGGCGTGGGTCAGAACACCCAGGAGCTGCTCTTCTGGTTTCTTGTGCTCCCATGTGCATGCGTGCGTGCTCCCACTCAGTACCGGAAAGGTTTGCCAACACTGCCCTATACCATTCCAGACAAATAGTCATCCAGTCTCTTCTTAAAAACTTCCATTAATGAAGCACCCACAACTTCTTGAGGCAAGTTATTCCACTGGTTAATTGTTCTAACTGTCAGGAAATTTCTCCTTAGTTCTAAGTTGCTTCTCTCCTTGATTAGTTTTCACCCGTTGCTTCTTGTCCTGCCTTCAACTGCTTTGGAGAATAGGTTGAAATCCTCCTCCTCCTCTTCTTTGTGGTAGCCCCTCAAATATTGGAACACCGCTATCATGCCACCCCTACTCTTGATCTAGGGACCAACTAAAGCAGAGGTGGGGAACTATGGAGAAACCTTTATGACTTGTGAACTTCAACTCCCAGAATTCCTGAGCCGCCTATGTTGAATTTGAAGTCCATAAGTCATAAAGGACCCACGATTCCCCACGCCTGAAGCAAAGTGTGAGGAATATCCATCCTCTCTTCTCCAAAAGCTTGAGCTGGACCGCATGTCCTAGCAACCTAGATTCTGTCCTGAAGAAAGCTCGCTTCTCCATCAGTTGTGCCTTGCTCACGATGCTCAAACCCCATGCGCAATCCTAAAACATAACCCACAGCTTCCCTGCGATCAGAGTGTTAGGAATAACAAGGTTACCTAACGTAGTTTGGGTAAAATAATATATATAAACTATGATAGTAAGTTTAAGTGTGTGTCACTTTAAACTGCAAAGCACGTAATTTTGGGTGCGGTTATGAAACTGCCATAAGAGGGAGCAAGAGAACCTGCTGAATTGCTGACGATTGCTGGTTTGCCTGGATTGATGGTGTGCTAAGTGCGTGTTCCCTGCTACTGGAGGAAGAAAGGAGGTTTGACTTCTTCATATCTCTACCGCGAGGAGATATATTACTGGACTGATATTTGTAAGTTTACTGACCTCTCTTTTTCGACACTGGACTTTGCAACTGAATAATCCCTGGACGGACTGAATTAGTGAATGATATATGAACTGTTTTGACTATGCTAAAACTCTTACTGGAATAAACTATTTAACTAGCACAGTGTATCTGTTTTACTGAGTGTAAGCTACAAAAACGTTTATCTCACATATTTTGCTTGCCTGCCTGCCTGCCTGCCGTGCAGATTCTGCTAGGGTGTATCCCTAACACAGAGTCTTTCAATGGTGGCAATTGACAGTCTGAGGCAGTTTACTGGAAGGAACAAGCTGGCCTATTCACAGAATGGCTGCCCCGGAGCGAGCAGTGATTAATCACAAAACAGCCATTGATCTGAAAGCATGTGTGAGGATGCTCCCTAGCGTGGCCTTTGGTAGCCCCTGCCATGTACCCAACGGCTGGTTTTTTTTTTTTCCACAGCTTGCTTTGCTAAGTCACACGTAAAAGCCTTGGGAGGAAGCAGTGACCAATGAGGGAGAGGATTCAGAAAGGGGATTAGGAGTGGGGGGGGGGGGGGGGGGGGGGGGGGGAACCTGGCTACTGGTTGTAAGAGCTTCTGGAATCACAATCAGAATTCGAAATCTGAATTCTTGTTAAGAGTTTGCAGCATTAAATTCAAATCCAGAAAACACACAAATGACTGACTCAGCAGGATCGTTAACTTCTTTATAAACGTAATAAGATGGGTCAAGTTTACAATACCATTAGCAGATTCTTTCAACGTAACATAAGCAAAAACACAAGCAGCAGCAGCTCAGAGCTGATACCAGTTTTTGTAAGCAAGCAAGACTTTCAATTCTCAGCAAAGCACACGGAGCCAAACCGCAGCCAGGCTGTCAGCTCCTATTGGCTGGTCTCTTGCCATGCTTACTTTGTTAACCATGTCTCTGCCGGTTAATGAATATACTCTGACAATTCTGGCAGTTAGGCGAGCGTGAGCTTCAGGTCTGATCAAGTTCTTCTGACATTCTGGGGTGAAGGAAATGCCTTACCTTGACAACTGCGGAGTAAGTGCATTTCACAGCCGGCGTGTCAAAGCAAGGGAAGAAGGAGCGGTTGCACACCGAATGGCCTTGGGTGAAAACGAATGGCTTGGAGTTGCCGTAGGTGAGCTCAGGATCCAGCCACCAGATCTGACAGAAGAAATAGAGAAGTGGGGGAAAAAACAACAACAACAAATAGACAAAATGGATAGTCTTCGACTTACGGTCACCATGAAGCCCCAAGTTTCTGTTGCAAAGTGAGACAGTTGAGTTTTGCCCCATTTTTACCACAATTCTTGCCACAGTTTAGTGAATCATTGCAGCGACGTGGTTAATCAGACGGTTGTTAAGTGAACCTGGCTTCGCCGCTGACACTGTGTGTCAGACGGTCGCAAAAGGGGATCACGTGACCACGGTACACAACCATCATAAATAGGAGTCAGTTGCCCAGAGTCTGAACGTTGATCCCATGACTGCGGAAATTCTACAACGGTTCTTAAGTGTGAACAACGATCATAAAGCCCCTTTTTTCATTTGCCGCTGTAACTTCGAACAGTCACTAAATGAACTATTGCAAGTCAAGGACTACCTGTACTACTGTTGTACTTGTATCTTCTAATACATGGGGGTCCAATTCAATTTCACTGAGGGCCACATCAGGGCTGTGGTGAACCTCGGGTGGGTGTGTGGCCAACTGGGTGGGCATGGCCAGCTTGACAGCACTCACTGGGCATGGCCGACTGGGTGGGTGTGGCCAGCTTGACAGCACTCACTGGGCATGGCTGACTGGGTGGGCGTGGCCAGCTTGACAGCACTCACTGAGGCGTGGCCAACTGGGTGGGTGTGGCCAGCTTGACATCACTCACTGGGGCATGGCCAACTGGGTAGGCATTGCCAGCTTGACACCACTCCCCAAAGTGCTGGCATGTTTCCTCGTCGCACTGGGTAGACCGGGCCAAAGCGATGCGGGCCGGCCCCTTACATTTCCCAGGATGGCCTCACGGGTCAGATCCAACCACATCTGGTCTACGAGCGTTGTGTTTTGTTTTGCTTTTAATATATCTTTACCGTTGACAACTACAAGTATCAAACAAAGTGCAACCATTTTGGCATTACTCTGCCATACATACAAAAATATTACTAAACCATTAACATTCATATTAGCGATACAGTATTTTCATTCCAGATCTATTCACCCTGGCTATTTTTGTTCTGACCTTTCCCTCTTTTTCGCAACTTTTGATAAAACTTATTCCAAGTATCATCATATTCTGATTCCCCCCTTATTTTTCAGTTCTGAAGTTAGTCTATTAGATTCTGCCCTGTTCTAATATCATCCCAGCCAGACAGCAGTGCTATTTACTGAAGACGGGGGTTTTAGGTCAAGGAGGGCTGGCTGGCTGGGGACAATGGGAATTTTAGTCCACCTGGGGACAGCGATTTGGGGAAGGCAACCATACACAAAATCTTCATTTCTGCTGAGATCACTGAAAGCAACTTAGCTCTGGTTGATGAAAGTGTGCAACGGGTCTTCCAGGGTTACAGACCACCTTTCCCACGGCTCATCCCACATACGTACAACAAAAGGCACCCTGACCCATTGGGCGACCTCCTTTCACAGGAAGGGATACAGGTAGTCCTCGACTTGCAACGGCTCATTTAGGGACTGTTCAATGGCACCGAGAAAAGGTGACTTATGACCATTTTTTTTCACTCTCATGACCGTTGCAGCATGCCCGTACTCACGTGATTTTACATTTGGATGCTTGGCAACTGACTCGTATTTATGACGGTCTCAGTGCTCTTGGGTCATGTGATTTCCCTTTTTTGCGACCTTCTGACGAGCAAAGTCAATGGAGAAGTGTGATGACCCCGAGGCGTGGCACAAAAGCAACAAAGTCACAAAAGTAGGTAAAGTCCCTTTAATTCTTCCAACTTGACCCCCGATGTCCAGTTATCATGGGCTGGAGACCTTCTCTAAAACTAACCTCCAAACATATCCTTTGTATTGGAAAAGTATCAGTCCTGTCTGAAGTACATAATATAGACCAGTGGCTGGCTGGGGAATTCTGGGAATTGAAGTCCACCCACCTGAAAGCTGACAACATAGAGAAACACTGAGATAGATGCATTACAAATAGAACTGCATGGAACAATATGCTGCTAACTTAAAACATGTCATCCCCGGCCAGCCTCTTTGATCTCCTAGACAGAGAAAATAGAAAAGCTGGCCAAGGCTGGCGTATTTTAAAATGGTGGCATGTTGTTCAATGAAATTCTATTTTTAATGCACCTATATAAACTACTTCAGGCAGGATGGATAAAATGCCATCACCTAATAGAGGAGGACATGACAGTGAGTGCCAAATAACAGCCCATCCCAAATGGAAAGTGTCCATCTCACAGCCATCCATTCCTCTGGGTAAAAAGTGTCCGAATATGAGCACACTTATTTATTAAATTACTTGCTCAATACCCGTGCTTTGCTATGAAACTATGTGGTCGGGCTTAGTTTTGGGGGAGGAAAATAAGGGGGGGAAATTCTACCTCTGCCTACCAGCACCATTCATCTGGCTAGCATCTTGTCAGTGTGTGAGATAGTAAAGGGCTGTTTGGAAACTGAAACCGTATTTGCTGTGTGAGCAAGAAGGGAGACAGCAAGGAGCCTAGTCGTGGCTTAGCTCAACTGTTCTGTACTAAAGCTGCTTGGTGCTATGAAAGTAAAACTGCTCTCTGCTTGTGTTTTACATTTGGAACAGATTTCTTTTCAGGTGGGGAGGGGGGAGTAGAACTCCTTAGCATCAGAACGTGTTAATAATAATATAGGAAATACTAATGTTCTGATGATCATTTCGAAAAATCCTTTCTTAGTGAGCACCTAGAAGCCAAAAGGAACAAATGTGCCAAATTTCAAGTTTGTGGGCTTTATGGTTCTGGAGATTTTGTGATGATGCATGACTGGTATTTCAATTTTATATATATATATAGATTCTGTTTTGTCAGCAATGTCTGGACTGGCCTTTTTCTCAATTTCCCATTTTTCCAGATGGTTTTATGGATAAGATATAAATACTCTCATTTCTTCAGATAAATTCTTTTGGTATTGGCAGAACATCTGATCCTCAGAACAACAGATGGAACAACTGACGAAAGTATATTATTATTAACACACACTGATGCTAAGGAGTTCTACTCCTCCTCCACACCTGAAAAGAAATCTGTTCCAAATGCAAAACACAAGCAGAGGAGTTTCGGTTTGTTTTAGTTTCACAGCAGCAAGCAGCTTTAGTACAGAACCGTTGAACTAAGCCATGCCCAGGCTCCTTGCTGTCTTCTTCTTGTTCATATAACAAATACTGTTTCGGTTTCCAAAGAGCCCTCAACTCTCTCACACACTGACAGGATGCTAGCCAGATGAATACTGATAGGCAGAGGCAGAATTTTTTCCCCCTTATTTTCCTCCCCAAAAACTAAGGCTGACCACATAGTTTCATAGCGAAGCACAGGTATTGAGCTAGTTAAACTATAGTGAAATTCTCTGGGCGGAAAAAAGATAGCAGTATGTAGAGAAGAATTTTTGTTCTTTCCTGAATACATTTCTCCCTGCTGAAATACAGGTAATTCTCAACTTACAATTATTCATTTAGTGACCGTTATAAGTTACAATGGCATTAAAAGAGGGACTTATGATCATTTTTCACACTTTACAACTCCTGCAGCGTCCCCATGGTCATGTGATTAAAATTCAGACACATGGCAACTGGCTCATACTTATGACGGTTGCCATGGCCCCTTTTGCAACCTTCTAACAACCATATTGCTACATTAACTGCAGTGATTCAGATAACAAATGTGGCAAGAAAGATCACACAATGAGGCAAAACTCACTGAATGTCTGTGCAACAGAAATTTTGGACTCATTTGTGGTCATAAACCGAGGACCACCCGTACACCTTGCTCCTCTCAGCCCAGTCTTCCATTCTGTCCGATTTACATTGCAATTTTGTTTTGACATCCCTGGGTGTAGGCCAAATAATTTTTTTTACCCTCCTACTGTCTGTTTTCTGATCTTTATACAAAGGAAGTTTACCCTTTTCTCTCTTGGTAACCAGGTTTTCTGAGGGTGAGAGAATTCATAAAGAACTTTTTGAAAATCCAAGTCAATTTGGCTAAGTCATCCTGGCTACTCTGGAAGAACACCGAGAAGCTTTAAAAAAAAAAAAGATTACCAAGGAAGGCTCGTGGCTTTGCAGAATCTATGATTAAGTCTTCTTCGGCTAAGTGCGTCCTTTTTTGTTTTTTGATCTCTTTTATATTTATGAATGCTTCCACTAATTTATACCTGAAGTCACATTAAGTCAATAATTTTAGTGTTCCGTTGAGATATCATATTGGCTATTTTCCAAACTTTAGATATACATTAGAGCAGAACTTTCCAAACAGGGCAACTTTTAAGATTTATGGACTTCAACTTCAACTTCCAGAATTCCTCAGCTGTTCTTCAGAAGTTGAAGTCCACAAGTCTTAAAAGTTGCCAAGTTTGGGGACTCTTGCTGTAGAGAGACCAATTTTAGGGAGCCAAGGTATTTTTGTAGAACAAAAATCTCACTGCTTGGGAATGATGTGTGTCATCAATGATTACTCAAACAAACACGCGACCTCTAAACTACCTGATTTTTCCAAATAAATCCTAAAACCTGATCTCTAATCCCCATATGATTGTCTGCATCTTCCTAACCTCTTTTCCCTCCTAAAGCCCTTTCAAGTTATCTGCCCCAAATTTTCAACCGGTTGCAAAGAATTTGTTAGGCCTCCCTAAAATCTTACTATCCTCTTTTATATCTTTTTGCTTCCTGTTTTTATTTTTTTAAAAAAGAAAGTGATTAACTTGCAGGGAAGGAAAGATTTTTCGTTCACAATTTTTGGGGTATCCCTGTTTGTATTAGTTCCCAGAACTTTCTTGGGGGAGGGGATGATAATTTCTATTTAGAAAACAGAAAAAGCTAGAAAAGTGACGGCAGAAAAAGACCTAGTGTTCCACTGGATCTGCCCTTCTGAGGGTTTTTTTTTTTTTTTTAACTTTTTAATCACTTAATTACAGCACCTGGGTGACCTAGTGGTGAAGACACTTGCCTCCCACTCAGAAGGTTGAGGCAATAGCAGTGCGTGCAAAGAGAAAATATCTGCTGCGAGCTCTGGATAGGTGTCAGAAAGGGCATCTGGTCAGTAAATGCTCAGCCCCATCCAGCTGCCCCGAATTAAGGGATTACAGGATTGTAAAAAAGGAGTTAATTACTCATTTAATTATTTCCTGCAGGAGTTGTCCTTAGGCTGCTCATTAACCAAGCTGGTATCCTCTTAATGGGACATCTGCTAATGTTGGCTATCCAGTAGACTAGCCAAGATTCTATCCTTGAGGCTTGCGTGGCTTTTTACAATGGGTAGAGCTGTGCTGCTAAATCGTGGGAATCCCTTCCTGGACAACACCAAGCAGAGCTTGACGGGAGGGTCTGGGGTACAATATTCCTCCATAGAAGTTGCCCAAGATGAGTGAAAACAGCAAAGCTTTGGGCCATTTTACATTCTTAAAACTGAGAGAGGACCCCTAAGAACCGTGATGGCGAACCTATGGCACGCGTGCCACAAGTGGCACACAGAGCCATTTGCGCTGACATGCGAGCCACAGGCAAACTTAACTCACTGCACATGTGCGTGCGTCACAGCTGTTTTTTTTTCCGGTTAGTTTGATGCCTTTTTCGGCCTCCCAGAGGCTTGGAAAAAGCCTCTGCAAGGCTTTTCAGGACAAATTATTGGCCCGTTTCATCACTTCCTGTAATACCGGAAGTGACAAAATGGGCCTATAATTCATCCTGAAAAGCCTTGCAGAAGCTTTTTCTAAGCCTTTGGGAGGTCAGAAAAGGCTTCAAACAAGCCGAAAAATCAGCTGTGAGGTGCAGTGCAGGTAAGGGGATGGCAGGAAGAGGGAGGGGGTTGCGTGACCATGCACAGGGGGCTTGGGGAAGGGCACACGTTGCATTCTGGGTGCTGGCATGCGAGTACGTGCGTGCTGGTACGCACACAATTTTTGGCACAGGAGCCCCAAAAGGTTAGCCACCACTGCCTAACAGCATTGGTTTCCATGGATTGCTTCTATTGATGTTTACTGCAATAGATATGAAAATGGAGAGAATTATAACAGAATTAACAGAGTTGGAAGGGGCCTTGATGGTCTTCTAATCCATATAAATGGCTGTCCAAACTCTTCTTGAAAACCCCCAAGCGATGAAGCACCCACAACTTTTAAAGGGAAAATGCCCCATTGATTTAATTGTTCTAACTGTCTTAGTCCTAGATTGGTTCTCTTCTAGATTACTTTCCATCCATTGCTGTGTGTCCTGCCTTCAGGTGCACTGGAAAATAGATCGATCCCATCATCTTTGTGGTAGCCCCTCAAATATTGGAACACTGCTATCCATGCCTCCCCTAGTCCTTAACAGAGTATCAGAATAACCGAGTTGGAAGGGACATTGGAGGTCCTCTAGTTTAATCCTCTTTTTAAGCAGGAGCCCCTTATACCAGTGGTAACTAACCTTTTTGGGCTCCTGTGCCAAAAATTGTGTGCGCGCTGGTGCTCACGTGCTCACATGCCAGCACCCAGAAGGCTATGCATGCCCCCCCCCATGCCCCTTGCACATACACGCGCAATCCCTCCCACACACCCCACACCACCCCCTTACCTGCACTGAGCCTCACAGCTGATTTTTGAGGCCTTTTTCGGCCTCCCAGAGGCTTGGAAAAAGCCTCTGCAGGCTTTGCAGGTCGAATAACACGCCCATTTCGTCACTTCTGGTATTACAGGAAGTGTAGCCTCTGGAAGGCCGAAAAGGGCCTCAAACCAGCCGAAAATCAGCTGTGAGGCACACGCATGCGCAGTGTGATAAGTTTGCTTGCGGCTCATGTGCCGGCAAGAATGGCTCTGCATGCTCCGTGTGACATGCGTGCCATAGGTTTGCCATCACGGCCCTACACCATTTCAGACAAATGGTTGTGTAATCTGTTCTTAAAAACCTCCAATGTTGGAGCACCGCAACCTCTGGGGGCAAGTTGTTCCGCTGGCTAATTGTCTTCACTGTTAGGAAATTTCTCCTAAGTTCTGGGTTTCTTCTCTCCTTGATTAGTTTCCACCCATTGCTTCTTGTCCTGCCTTTCAGGTCCTTTGGAGAATAGGTTGACCTCCTCTTCTTTATGGCAGCCCCTCAAATATTGGAATGTTGCTATCAGAACACACACAACACACACACACACCTGTCCTTCTTTTAAAAGCATTGATCGATCTGCCTTCGGGGAGCCTTTCAAACGGTCTGTGGGACCCCGTGAGATTATCACCCTTGAAAGGTGTTTAGACTTTGGGGAAAGTTCAGAGAAGAACAACTAAGGTGATCAAAGGCCTGGGAACTAAATGAGTTGAAGAACAGCTGCAGAATTTGGGCTTGGCTAGTAGTCTAAAAAAATAAATAAACTAGGGGTGACATGATAGCAGCAACCTGGAATTAAGGAGAAACTTCCTAACAGTGAGGACGATTAACCAGTGGAACTGCTTGCCACCAGAAGTTATGGGTGCTCCATCAGTGGATATTTTTAAGAAGAGTCTAGATAATCACTTTTATCTGAAATGGTATAAGGTCTCCTGCTAAAGCAGGGGGCTGGACTAGAAGACCTCCAAGGTCCCTTTCAGTTCTATTCTATTCACAATTCACGTTCAGGCCCCGCTCGGTCCTCACCATACTCGGCTGAAAACAGCTCCCCTCGGACCTCCCCGGCTCCCCACTTACCGCGGGGGCATCCACGGTGGTGTAGCGGACGATGATCTGGAAGGGTCGCTGCGGCTCCAGCGAGGCCGGCAAGGAGATGCTGAGCGCCGAGCCGTAGTCGGTGAAGGGGTCCACGCGGAAGAAGAGCGGGTAGGGGGCGCGGGCGGCGGGCGCCGAGAGGGGGAAGGCGGGCAAGGGCGGCGCAGCAGTCTCGGCGCTCTCCAGCGGGGTGCAGGCCCAAGGCCCGGCCGGAGGAGGCTCGCCCCACGGCGGGGGGACCTCGGCCGGCGGGGCGTCCCGCAGGGGCTCCGGGGAGGCGCCCAGGCCCGGCCGGTCTACTTCGGGCAGCGGCTGCCCGAAGGCCGAAAGTGCGCTGGCGGTGCTGAGCGGGCAGTGCGGGTGCGGGTGGCCCGCGGGGGCCGAGGACGGGCGGGCGGGAGGCGGCGGCGGCAGGACTCCCCGGCCCGGCTCGCCTTCCGCGCCGCTCCCGCCGGCGCTGGAGAAGACGAAGCCGCAGCGTCCCTCGCCGTCCGGGCAGGCCCGGAAAGCCACCGAGGCCACCCGCATGGCCGGGTGCGTGTCCAAGACCAGGACGCGAGGTCGGCGGGGCGGACGGTCTTCCTCGGCCGCCTCTTGCTGGGCGCCGCCGGGCACCGGCCGGGCGCACAGCTCCAGCACCAGGCAGCCGGCAAGGGCGCGGGCCGCAGGCCGCAGGTCCAGCCCGAGGCGGAGGTGGCGGAGGCGGAAGAGCGAGGCGCTGGAGGCCGAGGCCACGTCCGGGGGCGTCTCGGGGGCCTCCATGGGGCCTAGGTGAAATCCATGGGCGGGCGCGGGAGGCCCGGTGGCGGCCGACGACTCACCCAGGCCGCCCGGGAAGCCGCTCGCCGGCGCCAGGAAGAGGCGAGGCCCAGCCGGCCTGCCCCGAGCGGGGCGCGCTACGTGCGGCTGGCGGAGGAGGAGGCGGTGGCGGCGGCGGCGGCAGCGCTGGGCGGCGCCCGAGAGCGGCGCGAGGCGGCCGGAGCGGCCTTTGGACGCGCGCCCTGCCTGTCCCGGCCGTTGGACGGAAGCCTCGAGCTGGGCCGAGCCCGGGGCTTTATTGATCCCGTCGTCCCCCGGCCGGAACTCAGCCTTGGGACGGCAGAGAGACGGGAAAGGTCCGGCGCTCGGGAACGCATTATGCTGTAGAGGCAGGAAGGATCCCCCTCCTTGGATCCGGCCAGGTGATCTCCCGGGAGGGATCGTGTGAGCAGGGTATGGAGGAAGGAGACTTTGAGCAGGGATCAACTGGCTTGCCAGGAGGAGTTGGAAGGGCCCTTTGAGGTCTTATAGTCCAACCCCCTCAGGCAGGAGACCCTGTGCAGGTAGGCCTCGACTTACAACAGTTCGGTTAGTGGCCGAAGTAGTAAGGAATGACTATTTTTCACAGATCTTTGTAGCAGTCCCCTGGTCATGTGATTTACATTGGGATGCTTGACAGCTGACTCACATTTATGACGGCTTGCAGTGTCCAGGGGACCTGTGATTGCCCTTTGCAACCTTTTGACAAGCAAAGTCAATGGGGAAATTGGATTCACTTAACAGCCCTGTCACTAAGGTAACAACTGCAATGATTCACTGAATAAACATGGTGAGAAAAGTCGTAAAAAGGGGTTATAACTTCTCACCCACATAAATTTTAGGCTCAGTTGTGGTTCACTAGTTGAGGATTACCTGTACCGTCTCAGGTTGCGCATTCTCTCCTTAAAAAAAAAACTTGTTTTAAAGAAAGGTCATGAACATGATGGAGTGACTCCCAAATTGCAGTGCTTCTCAACCTTGAAAACTTCAGATCTCAGAATTCCCCAAACACTGAAATCTATGAAGACCTCTCGCAACTTTCAACGGTTCATTTAGTGACCTTTGAACTTACCACGGCACTGAAAAAGGTGACTTATAACTAGTTTTTCACACTTATGACCATTGTAGCACCCCTATGGTCACGTGATCAAAATTCAGATGCCTGCCCCAGGGTCATGTGATCAGACCGGTCTTTGGAAGGACAGATCCTGAAACTGAAGCTCAAATAGTTTGGCGGCCACCAAATAAGAAGAGAGGAAAAGACCCTGATTTTGGGAAAGACGGAAGGCGTGAGGAGAAGAGGACGGTAGAGGATGAGATGTTTAAATGGTGCCATCAACGGAATGAACATGAATTTTGGCAAACTGGGAGAGAGTGGAGGACATGGGGGGGGGGCGGGTGGAGTGCTATGGTCCATGGGGTTGCGAAGAATCAGACTGAACAATAATATAAGAAACCCCATGCATCATGTACATTTTCTAATCCATTGTAATTTAAATAAACAAACTTTGCACGTGGAAAACATGAGCACAACCTGTGTCTGTCTGTCTATCTACCTTCCTACCTACCTACCTACCTACCTATCTAAATAGAAGATAAATGGAAGGGACCTTGGAGATCTTCTAGTCCAGCCCCCTGTTTAAGCAGGAGACCCTATACCATTTCAGAGAAGTGGCTGTCCAGCCTCTTCTTAAAAACTTCCAGTGATGAAGCACCCACAACTTCTGGTGGAAACTTCCATTCCACTGGTTAGTTGTTCTCACCGTTAGGAAATGTCTCTTTAATTCCAAGTTGGTTCTGTCCTTGATTAGTTTCCATCCGTTGCTGCTTGTTCTGCTTTTAGGTGCTTTGGAGAAAAAGTTGGCCCCCTCTTCCTTGTGGCAGCCCCTCAAATACTGGAATACTGCTATCATGTCCCCCACTAGTATGTCTTTTCTCTAGACTGGCCAAACCCAAATCCTGCATCCGTCCTTCATATGTTTTAGTCTCCAGGCCTTTAATCGTTTTAGTTGCTCTTCTTGCACTTTTTTCCCAATATCTCAACATCTTTTTTGTAGTGTGGTGACCAAAACTGGATGCGGGTATTCTAGGTGTGGTCTTATTAAGGCTGGTACGACTTAATTCTAGACTCAGTGATGGTCCTAAGTTGAGGACTACCTATATAGCATTAAACAGTTGTGTGGAAAAAAGGGAAGTATGGTTTTTAGGTTACAAATGTCTTGATGGGTATCGCAAGAAAGCCAGAGAGGATCACTTTCCCAGATTGCAGGATACAGAAGGATGGGTTTAATCTACATGTAAGCAAGATTTTAACTTGAAACAATGGGGAAAAATGTTAATTAGATCAAGGCTCTTCAAACTTGGCAAGTTTAAGACTTGTGGACTTCAACTCCCAGAATTCCTGAGCTAACATGACCAGAGGAGGAATTCTGGGAGTTGGAAGTCCACAAGTCTTTAAAGCTGTCAAGTTTGAAGACCCCTGAACTGGTGTTTCAAATGGATTTAAACATCCATCTTAAACCATGGGTCATTTAACTAATTTATTTGATTTGCCGATCGCTTACAAGATAATAGATATAAGTATAAACATGAGTAAGAATCCAGAAAATAGGTACGAATAAATGGGGACAATAGGACAGGGACGGTAGGCACGATGATGCACTTATGCACACCCCTTAGTAAACTAAGTCTACTAAGTTAACTAAGGACTTAGAAACCTGGGTTGTTTTTTCCTTTTTGATAATGTATTCATTTTTATTTTTGCACTTTATTCTTTTTTTGTTTTTAAAATCACTCTTTAAAAAAACACAAATAATAAATCTAAAAGCCCTATGGATTATTGAATGTACCGTGAAGGCAGGTTCAATTTTCATGCAAAGCGATAAGCATGAAACTTCTTTAGGAAACTGCAACACAGCGTGCTAAGTAAAACAATATAACCTATTAAGATGAACTGGATTCAGTCATGGATTCCTAAATTATGGCTGATTAAAGAGCAACAGTACACAGCTCATCCCAGCTGCTTCGTGGGAGAAAACTCAACACTGCTCCACAATGAAAGGGCACACACGTCTTTACAAAAACCAAAATAATTTTTATTCACTTTTGCAGATGTCCGTCTCGACAAGACAATTTGCAAACATGCTAAGGCTATAAAATGTCCAGCTGGACAAAAACAAACCAACAAACATGCAGTGCTGACCGATCGAAACAGCTATTACAAGACTGACCATGCCCGTGTGGGCTACTGGTCCCATAGAACACAGATGGTGTACAGTAACCATGGTAACATACAACACAGGACCAGCAACCTGAGGTAGGCCTCTTTACAATTAGAAAATGAAATTTCCTACACCAGTGTCAAAACCTGATCAGGTGCCTGCTAAAAGCTGCAAGATGCTGAGGATGTAACGAATATGCAAGAGTAAAATTTTGTGCACATACAGTTGGGTGAATGAAGAACGATTTTAAAAATATCAAAAGTGTCTGGAGAACTTTCCAAAATAAATGCCAATATCTCAAAAGTCTGCATCCCAGCAGAGAAACGCCGTAGGAAGTAGCAGGGTCCAGTCTAAAAAAAAGATTTAGCTGCTACAGCTTGGGAATAACGCTGTATGCCAGGGGAAAAGATCTGCAAAAACTTTGGGGAGTTTAACACCCAGGATTCTCCAGCCAATATGGCTGACTGAGGAATTCTGGGAGTTGAAAGTCCACAAGTCTGAAAAGTTGCCCACTTTGGAGATCCCCGCTGTATGCTTTGGAGAGGTGCTTTTTGCTTAGCAAAATGGAAGGGGCTTTGACTGCATTGGATGAAATAGCCGCCAGCCAACTGACAGTGTCATTGTGTGCACCCAGGTGAATGCACTGGGTTCAAAGGTACCTGAGTTTTGTGATGGCCCTTCACTTCCCGCTAGAGTTAAGTATTTGCTAATGAAATCGCCCCAAGGGAGGGGAATGTTAAACCCCTCCAGGGTACAGTACCATGAGAAATTGTGGCTCCTGTCTAATAATTGTCAAGGATCTTGACTGCTGTCTTGCCGGGACCCACATGCCGTAGGTAGGAATGAGGAAAATGGGAGAGGGAGGGAGAGTTACACAAAACTTTCATTTCCGCCCAGAAGTTGGGGTGTGGGGGGAGAAAACAGCACCAGGGAGAGTCCAGTGCTGCCTGGCCCAAGCCAGGCTCCCAACCCCCACTAAAACGGTACAAAAAAAAAAAAAGGATAGAAAAGAATATGCACTGGTATTAACCACAGCGCTCATTTTAATATAAAATAAACAGCTTACATTTCCACTGTAAATATAGGCTATGTACAGAATTCTGTATAGATATAGCTACATGTATAAAGCTTCAATATAGGCCTCTGGATACATTTATAACGTGGCTCCCTGAGCCATCTTGTAGAGTGCATTTAATAGCAAAAAAAATTAGTAAGAAGAATACGAAATAAATACCATAATAAAAACTATGAAGAATCTTCCTTATAGTGCTTTTTTTTTCTAAAAAAAAAAAAAGAACTCAGTCCTGACTCACGATCCTTAAAAAAAAATATATTAAAAGGTGAAAAGACAACCTGCTTGAAAGACATGAAAATGGAAGGAGGAACATCCCTGCCACAGGCAGAGAAGGATTACGCTCCATATTAAAGTGACTTTGCCCTGAATTTTAGCCCTTTACAGCAACCTTGTTTTCTGCAGCAGCAAACATGGCATAGAAGCGGGAATTGTCATTGGACAGAAGAGCAGCTGGAGTGTCAAATTCCACCACCTGAAACAAATGGAAGAGGAAGTGCATGAAATGGAGTAAACACAGGTAGCCCTCGGCTTTACGGCCACAATTGAGCCCCAAAATTATGTCGGTAAGTGAGATATCTGTCAAGTGAGTTTTGCCCCGTTTTACGACCTATCTCGCCACAACTGTGAATCTGGCTACTGGCTTTGCTTATCAGAAGGTCACAAAAGTGAATCACATGACCCTGGAACACTGCAACTGTTGTAAATAAGAGTCGGCTGCCAAGCTTCTCTTGTATGTCACATTCTGATCATGGGCCCATGGGGTTAATGGTTGTGAGTGTGAAAACTGGTCATAAGTCAATTTTTCAGTGCTGTTGTAACAGTCACTAAATGAACTGTTTTAAGTTGAGGACTACGTGTAGCATCACCGTTGAAAAAGAGACCCAAAGATCTCCAATTCCTTTATTTTAGATTAAGGATTAGAGTTCCTTTAAGGGTGACACGATAGCAGTCTTCCCATATCTAAGGGGCTGCCACAAAGAAGAAAAGAGGGGCCTCAACTTACTTTCCCCAAAGCACCTGAAGGCAGGACAAGAAGCAACAGATGGAAACTAATCAAGGGGGGAAGAAGCAACCTGGAATTACAGGAGAAACTTCCTGACAGAACAATTCATCACTTGGAGTAACAGAATAACAGAGTCGGGACCTTGCAGGCCTTCTCATCCAACCCCCTGCTGAAGCAGGAGATCCTCCACCATTTCAGTCAACTGGTTGTCCAATCTCTTCTTAAAAATTTCCAGTGATTGATGGAGCTGGAAGTTCTGGAGGCAAGCCTTTCCTCTGATTAATTGTTCTCACTGTCCGGAAATTTCCAGGTTGGATTTCTCCTTGATTAATTTCCATCTGTTGCTTCTTGTTCTTCCTTCAGGTGCTTCTAAGAATAGGTGTATTCCCCCCACTTCTTTGTGGCAGCCCCTCAAATATTGGAAGACTGATATCATGTCACCCTTAGTCCTTCTCTTCGTTAAACTAGACATACACAATTCCTGCAACCATTCTTCACATTTTTAGCCTCCAGTCCCCTAATCATCTTTGTCGGTCTTCTCTGCACTCTTTCTAGAGTCTCAACATCTTTTTAATATTGGAGCAACCAAATGATTCTAGGGAAACTTACCATTTTAGAAACATCCTGGCTAAGATCTTGTTTGCATCACAAGGAAGACTGCTTCATTGCCAACTATGAATTGAAGCAAATTATCTTGCAAGAAATTTCGTGAGAGCTGCAGAGTTTTGCCACCCATTGATTGGCTCCTGGCTCCCGGTTCCATGGTAACTTGCAGAAGAAAAAGAAGTTCGCAGCTCACTCACCTGTCCTTGCATCAGTACCATAATCCGGTCAGAGCCCAGAACCGTATGGAGACGATGAGCGATCGTCAGCATGGTGCAGTCTGCAAAGGCTTCTCTGATCGTCTCTTGGATCAGTAAATCGGTCTCGGTATCCATAGCAGCTGTCGCTTCATCCAGGATTAAGATCTGTGGAACACAGCATGAGCCTCATTAAAAATGTAGCCATCAACCCTTTCCCTGGGCTTCTTCCACTATGACTAAAAGATAGTAGAACATGAAATGAAAGGCCTAAAAAGTATGCAAACGGGGCTGAGGGGGACATAATGGAACACAGTTCCTCTCATTTATCTAATGAAAGCTTAGTTGTGCTCAGTTGTCCTGAATCAATCTTCCTGGAATACAAGAAAACAGACCTGGATTCTTGGTTTCAAACCTGATTGCAATAATTAACCAATTCCTCAATTCATCACTCACCTTACAACGACGCAACAGGGCTCTAGCAATGCAAAGCAACTGCCTCTCCCCAACGGAGAAATTTTCCCCATTTTCCATCACTTCGGATTCAAGTTTCATGGGCAGCTGAGAAATCTTAAGTGAGAAGAAAGCAACAGAATAAGGTCAAATACGTGGTTCTTAAGCAGAGGTGGGGAACGATGGCCCCTTTAAGACTTGTGGACTTCAACTCCCAGAATTCCTGAGCCAGCATCATTCCCCCAACCCTGTTCTAAACCAAGGTCTCCAAACTTGGCAGCTTTAAGACTTGTGGACTTCAACTCCCACAATTCCCCAGCCAACATGACTGGCTGAGGAATTCTGGGAGTTGAAGTCCACAAGCCTTAAAAGTTGCCAAGGTTGGGGAGTCCCTGCTCTAAACGCTTCCAGATGCTGCATCGTCTTTTCAAAATCTACCAGTTACGAACTGGCGCCAATGACAAAATGAACTTCCGAGAGAGAAAGTATTTTCCACCAGTGGGGGGAACAGCATACAGAAAAGAGATACCCCAAATAAAGCAAGCATTTTACACTGATTTGTAGAGCTCTCCAAAGTAGGTTACATCAGCCCATTCAGGCAACAGTGGACACAATGTTTGACTTGGTCTGTCACTAGCAGTGAAGGCAATTCTGATAATGGTTTCAGCACTGAGGATTTGTAATCCAGGCCTTTTTAAAAGAAGTGTTTATTACTTAGAAATACAGGTAGTCCTTGACTTACAACCACAATTGAGCCCAAAATGACAGTTGCTAAACAAGGCAGATGTTAAGTGACTGTTGCCCCATTTTACAACCTTTCTCACCACAGTTAACTGAATCCCTGCAATTGTTAAGTTAGTAACACAGTTGTTAAGGGAATCTTAAGTGTGAAAAATGGTCATGTTGTAACTTTGAACAGTCACTAAATGAGCTGTGGTAAGTTGAGGACTACCTGTAGGAAGATAGTCAACAAGAGTTAACAACAATAAGCCACCCAGAGCAGCCATTACAGAAATGTCTATATGCGGACTCTTGTTTCTGTCCCCTCTCCTCTTCTTCCAGCCTGTGGAAAGTACAAGATGGTCCTCAATGTACGACCACAAGCAGGACTAGGACTTCCACAGCTGAGTGATTCAGTCAATAAAAGAGTCCTGCCTAATTTTACAAGCTTTTTGCTGTGATCATTAAGCAAATCTTGCTCCTTCCATTTATTTAATTAGAAACTGGCTGAGAAAATTGCAAATTGCAACCAGGTGATCTAGGGGCCCAACCATAACTACCTCCCAGGTGCCAAACACCCAAATCCCGATCACATTACCATGGGGATGCTGTGAAGGTCATAAGTACAAGGACCGGTCATAAGCCAGTTTTTTCAGCTCCATTATAACTTTAAGTAGTTGCTAAATGAATCCTCATAAGTCAAGGACTACCTGTATTCCGTGAATAGCCCAGCAGTAAAACGTTGGCAAGATTTTGTAGTTAAAAAAGTGCAGTGCCAGAACAGAAAGGAATTTAACTATCAATCCTTGTACTTACACAGTCTTTCATGTGAGTCCTTTCCAAAGCCTCCCAGATTTGCTCTTCGCTGTACTGTGTGAAAGGATCCAAGTTGGATCTAAAGAAGCCAAAATATAACAGCAAGTCACTACCCATTTCCCTCAGAATATAATCCACTCTTCAAGGACAATTCTATCTTATATGGAGTAGCAAAAGGAAGCAAAAGGGAGGAGGAGGAGGAGAAGCAAGAGCAGAATGGTTAGTTGAATTATGAAGTTACTTTGATTAGAATTGCACACACTGAGTACACATTGGCGAGGGAATTCTGGGAGTTGAAGTTCACACATCTTAAAAGTTGACAAGGTTGTGAAACATGGTTATCAACTTACATGAACCCAGCCACTATAGTTTGTAAACAAGAACAAACTAATGGTCAATAAAGTGAATCCATTCTGGTTTCAGAATTATATTTCTCAGTAAGCTCATTTTCATAATGACTAATAAGAGGAAATCTCTTCTCTTTTCTCTTCCTTCCTCCCCACCTCTCCCTCCCTCCCTCCCTCCCTCTCTCTCTTAGTTTTTGTTATACCAACCTCACAGTGCCACTGAAGAGGACTGGCTCCTGGGGGATTATGGAAAGTTTGCTCCGAAGATCTGCCAAGCCAATGTCACTGATTTTCACTCCGTCAATTTTAATGCAGCCCCCTGACAGCTCCACCAAGCGAAAGAGAGCCATTCCTAAAGAGGATTTTCCTGGAAAAAGCAAGGAAGATCGTAGTTAGCCGTCATGTTGAGGAACGTGGAAGTTTAGTCGATACACCACGGGTGGAGAACAATGGTCCTTTTATGAGTTCCTGAGCCACCATTCTGGGAGTTGAAGTCCACAACTCATAAAAGGGCCATCATTCCCCATCCCTGCTATACACTATCACAGCAACTCTTTTTAGCAGCTGTTTTAAAAAAAGAAGGTAGAACCTTGTTAAAGACAGATCCAAGCTAGAAATAAGGAGGAATTTTCTGGCAGTGAGAACAATTAATAAATGGAAGAGCTTGCCTCCTGGAGGTTTTCAAAAATAAACTGGACTACCATTTGTCTGAGATGGTATAAAGGTCTTCTGCCTTTAGCAGAGAAGTACAGTAGAAAACTTCTGAGGTGCCTTCCAGCCCTTTGGATTCTATGTTCTACTCTTTAATATTATTTTATGGCCAGTACATCCAAGACAGTCCAGAGTTTAAAACAAGCACTTTACAATGGAGTAGGCAATATCCACAAAAATAATGCAAAGGGAAAGAAGAAGAGGGAAAAACACGCACACATCCAGGATCCACGACTATGCAGAAGTCTGGAGTCTATACACACAGCCGTGGTGGTGTAAGGAGTAATGCCATGTTGCCCACAGAATACAAGACTCTCCTTATTTATCCTACAATCACAGGGTTTTTTTTTTTTAAAAAAAGAAAAAACCTGTTGAGTGAATCTGACTTCCGTATTTTGACTTTGCTGCTCAGGTCACAAAAGAGAGGGATCACGTGATCCTGGGACACAGCAGCAGTCATAAGTATGAGCCGGATGCCAAGCATCTGAATTTTTATCACGTGATCATGGGGGGGATGCTACAAAGACTGTAACTGAAAAATGGTCGTGTCACTTTTTCCAGTGCCGTTGTGACTTTAAACAGTCACTAAATGGACTGTTGTGAGTTGAGGACTACCTGTATTGAAAAAGCTGCCTTCTAGAACCTCATTCGCCTTTTTTAAAAGACCGATTTTGTAGTAATCGTTAAGCAAATACCACAGTCGTTAAGCGAACAAGTTGTTTGTTGAGGGCCAGGTTTGCCAAAAACCGGAAGTAAATGCCGGTTTTTGGCAAAAACACTGTAAAACATGGCCACGTGACCATGGGCACTGCATATAATCATAAATGTGGACCAGTTGAGTGCCTAAAAGTGGTCACGTGATGGCAATGAGGGGCAGCCGTCAGAAGTTCAGAACTAGATTGTAAGTACCCTTGCGAAAGCCTGTCCTAACTTTCAGTCACAACTCAAGGACTATCTCTATTCACACTGAAGAGCCATTTGCTCACCAGATAATGCCATGTGACATCAAGACTACCAAACCAAGGAATGTTTTGTGTGAGAAATCTTAAGTAACATTTGTGCATTGCCTGAACAGACATGTACCCTTGCTAATGCGAATTTTTCCCTCTTCGGAAATTAGGTTTTTTTTTTTACTTCTAATCCTCACAAGGTGGCACCAGTGAGCTTTCAAAACATCTAAGCAGGCAGCTAGAGCACCGCAGCCTTACCTGAGCCAGTCCTCCCCACAATTCCGATCTTCTCCTTGGGCTTGATGGTGAAGCATACTTTTTTGAGGACAAGCGGCAGGTTCTCACGATAACGCATTTCTGCATTTTCAAAGCGAATTTCTCCTTGATGGGGCCAGTCTGGAAGGGGAGCCTTATTCTTGATGCGAGCTGGGGCCTCCAGGGAAAGTGTCTTGGAATCACAGAGAAATGAAAAGAGAAAAGATGTCAACTACGGGCAGCATTCTAGGAACAATTAACAGAATAAGAGTTGGAAGGGAACTTGGAGGACTCCTAGTCCAACCAACAGCAAACCCTATACAATTTTAGACAAATGGTTATGCAATCTCTTCTTTAAAACTTCCAGTGTTGAAGCACCCTCAACTTCTGGAGGCAAGTCGTTCTACTGGTTAATTGTTCTAACTGTCAGGAAATTTCTTCTTAATTCCAGGTTGCTTCTCTCCTTGATTAGTTTCCATCCGTTGCTTCTTGTCCTGCCCTCAGGTGCTTTGGAGAATAGGTGGACCCCACCCCCTCTTCTTTATGGCAGTCCCTTAGAGATTGGAACGATGCTATCATGTCACCCCCTAATCCTTTTCATTGAGCTAGACATGCCCAATTCCTGCAAAAGTTCTCCATATCTTTCAGCCTTCAGTCCCCTAATCATCTTTGTTACTCTTCTCTGCATTCTTTCTAGAATCTCAACATCTTTTTTATCTGGTGGTGACCAACACTGGAGGCATTATTCCAAGTGTGCTCTTACCAAGGCATTATAAAATGGTATGAATACTTCACGTGATCTTGATTCTATCTCGCTGTTAATGCAGCCTAGGATTGTGTTGGCCTTTTGGGCAGCTGCCCCACACTGCTGGCTCATATTTAAGTGACTGTCCACTAGGGACATCCAGATTCCTTTCGCAGCTACTGTTGTTGAGTCAGGCATTACCTTCTTAATAGATTAAATAAAAGTAGAAGTCTTGTACAATCAACACCAGGAAGCATCATCAGGATCTAAGGTTCACAAGTTAGGCAGCTATTTATGGAACGCTGAAGGGGAGATGTGGGGTTGCCCTAGAGCTGTGATGGCGAACCAATGGCACTCATGGCACAGGTGGCATGCAGAGCCATTTGTGTTGGCACACAAGCCGCAGGCAAACTTACCTTGCTGCACATGCCTCAGCTGATTTTCAGCTGGTTTGAGGCCTTTTTCAGCCTCCCAGAGACTTGAAAAAAGTCTCTGCAAGCTTTGCAGGCCAAATAATAGGTTCGTTTTGTCACTTCCTGTAATACCAGAAGTGAAGAAACGGGCCTATTATTCATCCTGCAAAGCCTGCAGAGGCTTTTTTTCAAGCCTCTGAGAGGCCGAAAAAGGCCTCAAATTGGCCAAAAATCAGCTGTGAGGTACAGTGCAGGTAAGGGGGGGCGCAGGCAGGAGGGATTGTGCATACATGTGCAGGGAGCAGGAGGGCGCGCATTGCCTTCTGGATGTTGGCATATGAGTGCGCGCGCTAGCGCAGGCACAATTATTGGCACAGGAGCCCAAAAAGGTTAGCCACCACTGTCCTAGAGCAACAGCCCAACAATCCCCTTGCTGGAGGAACCAGCATGTTATCAGGAGCCTACCACTGATAATTTCTCAGGCAGACCTCTACTTTTTTCAGCACAGTGGACATCACACATAATAACCAAAACTATCTTTCTCTTATAGGAGGTATCAATTCCCATTTATCTCATTAATCATTGTATCATCTGTGAGATGTTAGTCTTGTGCTAAGATTATATTTTTTTCTGGTTCCAGAGGCGTAATTCTTTTAGGCATTTCAGGAATGTTTTGGATTTTTACACCATTATCACTGTTGGTGGTGCTCACTGTCTTTTTGATTCTATCTTTAATTTGTTCACTGCTCGGAGAAGTTAGAACTGAAGAAGCTTCTTGGATGAGAAGCGAAATGCTTTCAGAGAAAGAATTAAGACAGTCCTGTTGCCTTTTGGAAAAGCACCTTTGAGACTGCCTGGAGATGTCTGTTATTGGATGGTTTAAGAATATACTGCAGAAATCATTGAGTTTAGCAGCAGGAGCAGGGGCCATCTTTCCAGAGGCAGGGCACCAGGGAAAATATTGGGCAGTGGATAGAACGCTTAAATACCTTGATGTAGTGGTCAATTCTCTCCACAGACGTAAAGCGAGCCTCTGTCTCTGACGCCAACCTGACTGTAAACTGGAACAATCCCGTTAACTGAGAAGGAAACAAATCACTGTTACTTATAGCACCATGATACATTAACCAATTTACTAGCTGTGAAACCTCCGAGTGATTCTCTGTGGAACAATTTAATGCCACCGGGTGAGGGTGGTTAAGTGAGACTTTCTCATGAACTATACCACAATAGGGAGGAAAGGAGTTCCATTCCTTGTGATGAAGTTCCATTAAGTTGCCAATGTGTGGGAAAAATAAGCACCACCATGATCAATTTTATTCAGCCTACTGCCTTCCTCAACCGCCCCTTATCCCTCCATTTGTAAGCACCAGTTTTTTCTTATCCACAGGGCACTTTCTCTTCCAAAGAAGCCATTTTAATAGAGGATGGTCAAAAATATTCCACAGTGCCATCACTACATGTTTTCAGTGTTGTAGGATACTGCTTGTTAGCCTCTGTAGATAGTCCTCAAGTTACAATCACAATGAAGCCTGCCCATTATGGTATGTTGTGACAGTTGTAAAGATTTTATGACCTTTTTTTGGTGATGGTTGCTAAAAGAACCCATCTTTTTTGCTGAAAATTGGAATTTTTCAACCAAACAGTTGTAAAACATGGTCACATGATCACAAGACACGGCAAACAGTTGCAAATGCAGCCCATCTGCCAAGTGCCCGGTGCAGTCCTACGACTGCCGGTGTGTGTTTGTGGGGGGGCTCTGACGGTCAGAACTTTGAATCCAGGTCATAAGTACCCCCTAGGTAGTTCCACTGTAACTTTGACTGGTTGCTAAGTGACTGGGTCATAAGTCAAGGACTACTGTAATATAAAATCAAGTCAACCGTGTGCTTTTGATTGGGCCTGGCTGTACTGTTCTTCCAAAAGGGAGTTCCAAAATGCAACTTCGTTTTGACATACAAGAGATGCATTCACCTGAACAGCATATGAGATGGCGAGCCCAGCGTAAGCCGGCGGGATCTGGCCGTGCATTAAGACGATCATTAAGCCAGTGATGGTAATGAGGGCAATGCTGACAATATCCAGCCTGACAGCCAGCCAGCGCATCGCACAGCTGAACAAGTAGACGGGAGCCTGGTTGTCATCCAGCAGTTGTTGGTATCTAGAACAAACAGAATATATTCACAATTAAAATACAGGTGATCATCTTCAATTTACAACCATTTGTTTAGTGACTACAGCAATACCGAACAGTGATCTACGACCATTTTTCACGCTGACTGATTGTTGCAGCATTCCCCAAGGTTATGTGATCAAAATTCAGACGCTTTTATTTATTTTTATTTTTATTGTATTTATTTGTCGAGCAAGTATTAGATAATAGGTATAAGCATGGTTATGAATACATGAAATGGATAAGAATAAAAAAAGAAACAATAGGACAGGGACGGTAGGCATGTTGGTGCACTTATGCACATCCCCTACAGACCTCTTAGGAAAGGGGTGAGGTCAATAGTAGTCAGTCTAAGGTTAAAGTGTTTGGGGAAGAGACCACAGAGTCAGGTAGAGTATTCCAGACATTGACCATTCTGTTGCTAAAATCGTATTTCCTGCAATCAAGTTTGGTGTAGTTATCTTGAGTTTGTATCTATTGTGTGCTCTTGTATTGTTGTGGTTGAAGCTGAAGTATTCATTGACAGGTAGGACATTGCAGTAGATAATTTTATGTACTATACTTAGATACTTATATGCTTGGCAACCAGCATGTATTTTTATGACTGCTGCAGTGTCTCGGGGTTATGTTATCCCCTTTGGGGAACCTTCTGACAAGCAAAGTCAATGGTGAAAGCCAGAGTCACTCAACAACCATATCACTAACTTAACTGCAGTGATTCACTTAACAACTGTGGCAAGAAAGGTCATAAATGGGACCAAACTCACTTAAGAACTCTCTCGCTTAGCAATGGAAGTTTTGGGCTCAATTGTAGTCGTAAGTCAAGGACAACCTGTATTTCATTTTTTTACCTGAATTGGAGGAGAAATTTCACAAACTATGATTCATGTGACTGCTAGCAAATTCAGGTAGCAGCTTATGAACCGATTCATCTGAAATATTAAACCCAAATTGTAGCTTATTATTTCTAGATCGAGGTGATACACGAACTTGCATTCCGAGTGAATTCAGCCATTTGTGCAATAAACCCAACCTTTAAAAATCCCGGCTTTATCTGTTTTGTAGCAGCTCAGACTGAATGTCAGAGAAGAAACAGAGCACTAACTTGTATAGGAATTCCTCTCTTTTATTGTAGGCATGGATGGTAGAGAGACCTTGAATGCTTGAAGTGATGTGAGAAAGAAACGGAGACTGCGTAATGTTGTCCAGGCGTTTCAACTCCCGAATGAAGACTCTGCATACAAAAAAACACAACCAACTGGAAGTAAGAGGTTTAACAAAAATATGAGAATAACTAGCCCTTTGATGATTTATGCTGCCCGAATTGGGCTTGGAGGCAGCTGGAAACCAATGAAGTTGGTTCCAACACCAGGCATGGAAGACTCTCAAGGCTAACAATGTCTTAAAATGACCCAGAACAATTGCTGCTCTTACCTAGACACAACATGCAGAATGGTGAAAAGAACCACGAGGGGCCCCACTGCCATTAGGAACCATGGAAAGACACCAGAGATCACTCCCACGCAGAAGAACACCAGGATGACGTTCTGTATGAACATTTCAGCTTGAAAAGGCAGGCGGACGTCAACTGGAAGAGACGGACAGACTCAGCGGATTAGGATAGACTGAAATTCTCACCAACGCAAATGATAAGAGAGAGCCAGGTTAAGCGAAGGCGCTGGCCTAGAAACCAGGAGAGTTTGAATTCTAGGTCCCCCCCTAGGCCTGAAAGTCGCCCACTGGGTAACTTTGGGGCAATCCCCAGGAGAGTGTGAGTTCTAGTCCCACCTTAGCCATGAAAGCTGGTTAGGTAACTTTGGACCAATCACTAGGAAACCTTGAGTTCTAGTCCTGCCTTAGAAATGAAAGCCACTCTCCCTCTCTCTCAGCTTAACCCACATCATAGGGTTGTTGTTGTGGGGGGGGAAAGGATTATTAGGTATGTTTCCCACCTTTAGTTATGTATATAAAAGTGGGATAAAAATATAACAGTAATATCCTATATATATACACAACACGGGGCTGGTGGAAGAGGACACCATCTTGTTATAGTCTCTCCTGTCCAGCCCAGGAGAGATTCAGGTAAGGCCAGCACAGGTAAGAGTCACTCAGGGCTCTCCTACTCTGCTGTCATCAGTTTGTCTGTTCAGAAATGTTAAATGAGCCGTGTTCCATTCTATGACCTTTTTTGACATTGTTGAGCCAATCACTGAATCATGCAGCCATTAAGGGAATCTGGCTTTGCTTGTCAGAAACTCCCTAAGAAAGTTGCAGATGATAACCCCAGGATCCTGCAACCATCGTAAATACATGATGGTTGTCAAGCACCCGAAGTTTGATCATCTGACCGTGGGGATGCCACGACGGTCATAAGGGTGAAAACTGGTCATTAAGTCGTAAGTCACTTTTTTCAATGCTATTGTAACTTTGAAGTCATTAAATGAATGCTTCTGTTGTGGTTCGCCGACAGCCTGCGCAGACAGCAGCAGAATCAGACAGTGTGGAAGAACAGGGACCAGTCCAGGAGTCTGGGGAGGTCTCGGACAAGGGTCCTGTACCCGATACAGAGATGGGGCCAGGGCTATCTGGGAGTTACGTGCTGACTCCGGAGCCTCCAAAATCTGGCAGCAGCAAGGCAGAGGAACGAGGGGAGCCTGTTCCCATTGCCTGTGTGTGCAGAGCTACCAGAAGGTAAGAGCAGCTAAGACAAAAGGGGTGCCTCAGGTGTAAGGCTTGGAAGTGATTGGCCCTCCCATAAGACATGAAGGAGGCGCAAAGGGACAGGAACTTTTGCAGGAAGCAACTTCGTTCGTACTGACCGGTTTGGATTCTGAAAGCTCTGTGGTAAATTTGTTTTGTTTGGTTTTGGAAAGACTAATTTAGACTTTAGTCGTTGGCAGCACTTCAAGAAAATAAGGTGTGTTATCAGACGTCTTAGGAAGAATTTTGGCAGATGTCCCTGGGACTAATTATAACCGGTTAAGACTCATTCCGGGCTGTGAATGACGATAATTCACAGCCATTGAAATAAAATAAAAGAGTTTTGGATTTTATATGTGTTTGTTGTCTCAGGAAGCCTTGGTCAGAATAGCTTCTAAGTCAAGGACTGCTTGTATTAGCAACAGGTTACTAAATGAGAGTTTATTACCTTCATCCATATCTTTGGAGAACCTATTGAGAATCCGCCCCACAGGTGTGGTGTCGAAAAACTTCATTGGACTACGAAGAATCCGCCGGAAGAGTTCATCGTGCAGCCTGGATGAGGCCCGCAATGTCCCCTGTAGTGACCATAGAAGAGGACTGTTGCAACCAGGCACTCAGGAGTTTTAAAAGAAAATTCACGAACGACTAGAAGGGACTGCAGACCTCAGGAAGGACTACTACACTACAAACGTCTTCCACCATATTTGTGAGATGACAACAAGTCATGGAAGGAAAAATCAGGAAATGAAGGCAGTTGCTTTCATGGAAAGAATCTACTGTCCAGAATAACAGGATGGGAGCCAGAGATAAGAATTATTTTGTTAACAGAATTGGAAGGGACCTTGGAGGTCTTTTAGTCCTGCCTTAGAAATGCCCCTATACCATTGCAGACAAATGATTGTCCAATTTCTTCTTTAAAACCTCCAGTGTTGGAGCAGCCACCACTTCTGGAGACAAGTTGTTCCACTAATCAATTGTTCTGTCTGTAAATTTCTCCTTAGTTCTAAGTTGCTTCTCTCCTGGATTGGTGTCCATCTATTGCCTTCAAGTTTTTTGGAGCAGCAGTCGCCAACTGGTGGGCCGCAGAGAAATCTCACCCCCAGAGCACCCTCACAAAGCAATTAATCTAAGCTGTGCAGAAACACAAGGCCATGCCGCCCACATGGCCCGCGTGAACCCTCCCCACCCACTCACTCCTTATCTGGAAAACTTGTCTGCTAAACTGCTATTTTTTCTTCTTCCGACCATCATCTGTTCTGCTGTGCCGGGAGATTTAGGCTAGCTAGGAAGGAGAAAATGATTGGATTTCTTGCTTTCTACTAGTCTTTAGATCTTCAGCTCAGCACAGCCAAACCTCCCTTAGGACTGAAGGTTTGTTTGCAAGCAAATTCAGTGCAGACTCACGGCAAGCAGATTTGAGAGACTGACCTAGCCGATGGCAAATAGATAGATCACTGAATGATTCTGTGAGCAACTCAATCTGCCTGCCTGCTTTGCCTGATTTTGGGTAAAAGTTGCTCTTTTTTTAAATAAAAAATTCAGTATTTATATAAATATTTATAATATTTACATACAAGCCATGCCCAGCCAGCATTAAAAAGTGGTACTAACACTTCACGTGATCTTGATTCTATCCCTCTGTTAATGCAGCCTGAGACTGTGTTGTTCTCTCCTCCTTAAACAAATACCTACCTTGACAAAGGCAATGCCACGAACAGCCTTCAGAAGCAGCATGACTCCCATGGAGAGTGCATAAATGCCAGCATAGTAACGCATATGAGGGTTATCCTTCATACTGTCGCTCACCACAGTTTCATTCCCCAACATCAAAGTAGTGTTCTGGGTTTTCAAATAAACAACCAAAACAAGAACGAGTTTTTAATAGTAATATAGTGGTACTTTGATACTTATCTGTAATTGGTTCCAGAAGGCAGAATGAGTACCAAACCATGTGACTTCCCATGTGACCCTCTGTTTCCACCAAGAAGGACTTCCTATCTGTCCCTTTTCCTATGTCAGCGGCCTTCCCAGCATGGCCGACTTCCTATCTGCCCTCTGTGGCTGTCCCCCGCTTCCTTTTGCAGCGCATCAAGCACCAAACCAACCAGGACATTTTCACATCAAAATGCTTTGAGCACCAAATTCAATGAGTTTTGAAACTGTCAAGTACTGAGGCCCCAATGTATAGGTTTTGAGTTGTAAGCCGCCTGGAGTCATTTATTGAGGTGGGCGGCTATAGGAATCAAAGAAAGGAAGGAAAGAAGGAATTCGAAGATACCAGTTGCTCTTACCCCACTGCCTTCTTTGATCCAGTAGCTCAGCCACCAGTTGCTGAAGGCTGTACTGCCCACGTTCAATATGAAGAGTATCATGATGGTCAGGAAAGCGACTGGACCTCCAGCTGCTTGGATGTAGACCCAATAAACCGACCAGGGGACAGAACCTTTGCCTTTCTCTTCCATCTGCATGAGCTGAACTAAAGCACAGGGATGGGCAGAGGAGGAGGTTAAACAGAGAGAATTCAACAAATCCGATCTATACTAGATACAGGTAGTCCTCAATTTATGACCAAATCTGAGCCCAAAAGTTCCACTGCTAAGCAAGCCAGTTGCTAAGAGACCTTTGACCCATTTTACAACCCTTTATTGCCACAGCCATTAAGCAATCACTGCAGTTGTTAGGTGAATCATGTGACCACTAACCAAAATCTGGCTTCTCTCACAGACTTTGCTTGTTGGAAGCCAGCTGGGAAAGTCCCAAAAAGTGATCGTATGACCTTGGGACAGTGCAACCATCATAACTATCAATGCCAGTTGCCAGGTGCCTGAATTTTGATCATGTGACCATGGGGATGCTGCAACAATTGTAAGTGTGAAAAAACCAGTCATGTCATGCTTTTTTCAGTACCGTCGTAGCTTTGAATTCTCACTAAACAAATGGCAGTAAGTTGAGGTCTACTTGTTCACAGGTAAATAAGGACAGATAAACAATCATATCACTTTTTTCAGTACCGTTAAAACTTCGAATGATCACCAATTAAACTGTTGTACGTTGAGGACTAGCTGTATCATACAAAGTTCCCTGAGAATATTGTATATATACAGATGGCATTCAAATGTAACCAACCAAATAGGCTAGAATTAAACTCTGGTTAAATTTTCCAACCCATGACGTAAATTATCCTAAACTCTTGCTTAGATCACTTTGCTCGTCTTGAAGACAAAGAAGCACGCTGTTTCAAAGTCAGCGCTAGTCTTTGTGGCTAAAGGAAGGGTAAGACCGAATCTTGAGCTGAGACCCACTAAGATCATCTGGAACCTACGGCATTGTTAACAGAACACTTGCATGCACACAAGTTGGGTAGTGTGACATTTGTGTTTTTGGATGACAAGCTGTACCTTCTTCCTTCTTAACTACTTTCTCTTTCTTCACAGATCCCGTTTTGGTGCCTTTCTCCGGGAGTCTTTTCAATGAACTGTTTGCAGTCTTCTTTAAGTTAACCTACGAAAGAGAGAGGAGGTAACTCAGATTCAGCCTACCTCAACTACGCAAGGGAAATATCATAAGCACATTCCCTAGGAGAGAAAAAGAGCCTGGTTAAAGTCCATAAAGGGATGTCCTATATCCATGATGGCGAACCTATGGCACAAATGCCACAGGTGGCATACAGGTGCAGGCACGCGAGCCCCAGCCAAACTTACCTGCACCAGAAGTGCCCATTTTCAGCCTCCAGAGGGCCTCTGGGGCCCGGGGGGGAGGCTGTTTTCACCCTCCCGGAAGTGACAAAACGGGCCCGGTTTTTTTGGCTTCCAAAGGCTGCAGAGGCTTCCCTCGAGCCCCTGGGAGGGCGAAAACAGGCTCCCCCGGGCTCCTGAGGCCCTCCGGGGGTTGAAAATGAGCACATCCAGTATTTCCGGAAGGCCTGTTTTCGACCTCCTAAGGCTGCGGAGGCTTCCCTCGAGCCTCAGGGAGGCCAAAAAAAGCCTCAAAATGGGCTGAAAATCAGCTGGGAGGCACACACATGCACAGTGCAGATAAAGGGGCATGGGAGGTATTGCGCACATGCACACTGCCTTCTGGATGCTGGCATGCGAGCGCACACGCAATTTTCGGCACACAAAAAGGTTAGCCAACACTGTCCCATAAGCTAGGACCTGTATGCTTGGATTAGACAACGATTTCTCTGAAATGATAGGGTCTCCTGCTTGAGCAGGGGGTTGGACTATAAGACCTCCATGGTCCCTTCCAACTCTGTTATTCTGTTATTCTAACTACCATTTTAAAGACTGATTTCAATAGAAACTTCCCTCTCTTTCTGTCAGCCACCAAGTAGAAACATGGATCGTGTTATATTTTATTTGAATAGAAGTTTACTGTAAATTTGTTCTTTGAGGTGCACGACAGCAAGAACCATGTAAAGGACTAAAACAAAGAAGTTAATATCATTGCCCAAACTAGGTAATACCAGTCTGATGATGTTACCTAGTTTGGGTAATGAAACACCTGGAACATCTACAAGAAAACAACCACGCTCAGAGAGCACCTCATGTCAACTCTGAGCTACAAATATTCTCCTTTATAGAGGTTAATATCAGGAATCTGCCTGGTAATTTCAGAAGTCAGAGGTTTACCCAGCCTTCATCTTGGCAGATTGTCCAAGTGTGTGGAAACCTTGGGTGATTCAGAAGACATATTACAAGCTAACACAATAATTTTGCTATTACATGAATGGCTTGTAACAAATAATAAGTTGTCTTTAGGATCATTTACATATGACTTTATTTTTCCTTAGGGCAAAAACCGTAGCACCAAATAAATACCTCAATGTGTGGCGTTTCTCCCAGCTGCAAACTATTGAAAATGGCTGCATAGTCACCGTTCAGATTCATCAAGTCTTCATGGCTTCCCCTCTCAGTGATGCAACCTTCTTTCATGAAAACCACCTCATCGCAATCCACAAGATACTGATTAAAAAGAAGAGGAACACTCATGGTGAGGTGGAATGATCACTCGGCCAAGATATTGAAAAATTAAAAAAACAGTACTTTAAAAAGGCATAAATAAAAGTTGGTGATAAGATTCCAAATGATTTACACGACATCAGGACAGTGCAGCTATCACAAACATATCTGGCAGGTTTTGAACACGTGACCATGGGAAATACTGCAACAGTTCTAGGTGTGAAAAACAAAACAAAACTCCTCAAAGGGCAGACTCAAGGGACCACTAGGTCTCTCTCTGCTGTCAGTTTTCTATGTTTCTATTCATTTGTTCATTCCTTCAGGATTGTCACCCATTCACCGTGCAAGTCTCACGAGCCATGAGATTTCCCCTTCCTAAATCCTATCCATTTTCATTTTTCTTTATACTAGTCACTGTGACAACCCTGAAAAGCAGATGAGATTAATAAGACAATTTGATTATGTGCAGAAGCAATGTTTGCATCAATTTACCTCGGGCCAGCTCCTTGCCTCTTTAGCAGAGAATCTCAGGCTCGTTAAATAAGACGTCAGATTTTTCTAAACATGGAAGCTCCTGTAGCCTCCCTTCACATGGAAAAAATGCTCTCTGCCCCATAATAATTGGGATATAAACAGTCCATACAGGTAGACTTCACCACAATTGAGCCCAGAATTGCCACTAAGCAAGACAGTCATTAAGTGAGTATAGCCGCATTTTACGACCTTTCTTGCCACAGTTGTTAAGTGAATCATTGGTGATTAAGCAAATCTAGCTTCCCTCACTGAATTTGCTTGTCAGACACCAGCTGGGAAAATTACAAATGATGATCTTATGACCCCGGGACACTGCAACTGTGTTAAATACATGCCAGTTGCCAAGATTCAAATTTTGATCACATGACCATGGGGATGCTGCAACAGTCATAAGTATAAAAATCAATCGTAAGTCATTTTTATCAGTGTCATAACTTCAAATGATCACTAAATGAACAGCTGTAAGTCGAGGTCTACCTGTATGCACTGAAAATGCAGAATATACACTTTTATATATCAGTAAACAAATTGCTTACTTTTCCTTCTCGCTCTTGGCTGCTGTTGACTCTCAAATACACCCAGGCTAAAACCCTCTTTATTTTTATTTCTTCTGTGAGGCTGTAACCCAATTAGGTTGATTAAATTAAGAGACTCTGGACCAGGGGTGGGATGCTACTGGTTCTTACTGGCTCTATAGAGCCAGTAACTCTGAAGAGCAGCAGATACCAAACCAGTTCTGTGTTTGCTGCTGTTTGGCCTTTACGCAGCACAGCTGAGGTTGAAAAAGCAGGAAAAAAGAGGCTTTTCAAATATTGTGCACCTGCACGCAGCGCTTTTCAGCTGCCTGGGCAGTACAGCTAAAGGTTTTTTTACACATGTGCCCGCAGGGCATCTGACGCGCATGCACACATAGTGTGCACGTGCGCACAAAACGTAATCACCGAACCGGTAGTAACACCGGTTGAATCCCACCACTGCTCTGGACAGCAGAAGTTACAATTTCCCACATTTATTTAGCCAATAAAATCCTGAGCGGAACAGAGCGAGGTAACACTCTCAGCTTACCTGCAGCTGGTGTGTGATGAAAAGAACTGTTCTGGACTTCAGGTGCTTCCGGATTGCACTGTTGAAAATGTGGTTTCCAACATGGGCATCCAAGGCACTCAAAGGGTCATCGAGGATGAAAATGCTCTTGTCGCTGTACAGGGCACGGGCAAGGCTGATCCGCTGGCGCTGACCCCCACTCAAATTTGCGCCCCGGTCACCAATCTAAATAAAACATGCCTTGTTCAAATATTTGTTTGCCCGCCACACCTTCTTTATTCCTTGCTTATCAATTCTCTCATTTCTCCAAAACTCAAAGCAGGATTCCAATAAGTCAACAGAATTCAAATAGCTCTAATTGATTGGAAACCCTTTACTGAATTTGATAGCAAAGATTCAAAGCTCAGTTCCTACGGAATCAAATTTTTATCTAGTACTGTAACCTACTTAATGTATGCATCCTGTTATTTACTTAAAGAAGGCATGTTTAAGGAATTTTTGAGACAAATATATTTGAAAACCCAGAAACCTAAAACATAATTGACAGAAACAGCAGATGTCTGTTTAAAAAACAGCAACGATAATTATTTACTCATTTCAATGCAGTTACATAATTTTACAATTCAACTGAAATGAAAAGCAGGAAGTACATTCAAGGCAACTTTCAGTTGTATTTGATTGATTATTAGAAAGTCTCTTCAACTACTTTCTGACTCCAAGAAATTAGCAAATGAAATGGAAACCACACTTCTAAAAAAGCAGAAAGGAATAAAATAAAGATTTCAAACACATTTAAAGCAGGAATGTTTTTTATTACCTAAAACCTCCAAAGATAGAGTTGGCCCTTGTTTCATTGAGAGGAAATTGTACAATTTAGGTGCTGCCATTCAAAAAGCATATTTCCATCAATTGAATTTAACTTGACACAACACAAGAGGACCTGCTCTTTCCACGAAAATAATCTCTCCTTAGCAATAAATACCTTACCAAACTCACGCCTCACTTAAGGTACCTACCTTTTTGTATCAAGAGAAACAATTTATTTACAAATTTGGAAACTAGACATCTCTCTCTCACAGCAGTTGGCAAAGCACCTAATTTTGAGATTCCTCTCCTCAAAGTGCAACAGGACATGCCCTAATTATTTTTGTGTGTGAAATAACTGTAAGAGAAAGAGTGGCAGAACCTGGGGTTGAGTTAAAAGAGCCTAGAATCCCCATATAGCCACAAACGAATTAAGTCTAGCTTCTCTTGAAATCCCTTGACTCTTATCGGCAGAGGTGCTCACCATTAGTTGAGAAGATTTCAGCACACAGGATGACTAGCTACAAATTAATCCAATTGGACCTTCATGTGTCTTCCTGGTCTTTCCTGCCCCACATTAACCCATGAACCCATTAAAAACATAGCAAGGTAAACGGGTCTCATATTTTTAGAGTCTGATTACATATTGAGTAGTTAAGGTGTAATGAAGTTAACAAGCAAAGCTGTTTATCAACCTCTAAGCATGTCATATATTTTCCCTCTACAGATGGGTCTCCTGGAATTGGTGGGCTGATGTGTTCAAGCAAGATTCTTACCTCTGTCAGATCCCCATGTGGTAGGATAGCCAGATCAGGTCGGAGACAGCAATCATTCAGCACCATATTGTACCTAAATATATATATATATATATATACACGTGTGTGTGTGTATAGATGGATATACATCTTTTAAAAAAGCAGTGAACAGACCACTTCCAAGTTAAATGGGCCTAAGTCCTCCCCTATAGCGTTTTCCCAAGGTCTGTTTAAAGAGAGATTTAGAAAATCTATCTCGGATACATATGGGACATTTAGAAATTTATCTGGTTTTGCCCCAGGTTGAATTGTGACTGTTAGGCCAATCAGCTAATTGCTTTGAAATAGTTATGTGACTGGCGAGCACCATAACGGGCAACAAAGACAGTGATTCTCAAAACTGACTTGTAACATTAGTTGCATTGTCAATGATGTAGTTATCAGGGTGGCTCTTACATAATGCTGTATTATAATTTTGTATAGCATGTATTTCATCCTTCCTCCCTGGCTGGGGAGGAAAATTCTTGCCAAGTTTAGATTTGATTTATTATTACTATTATTATTACTATTACTATTACTATTATTATTACTATTATTATTACTATTATTATTACTATTATTATTATTATTATTATTATTATTATTATTATTATTATTATTATTATTTCTCATTGATTTATCAGTGATTCCTACCAAGTTCTTATCTGTGCCCAAAAATAATGTTTGAAAAGCACCTTCCATTTTGTGAAGAGGTTCTGGCTTAGTAAGCAGTTGTAATTTGGCTAAAACCACAATTCCTGTGATGCAGTGAAATAAGAAGCCAAGAATTAAGGAAAATCGGGGTTGAAAGACTTTCTCCCAGTTGGGAAGAACGGAAGATACATGGCTCCAGTGCTCAGTTCAAGCTCACCAAGTCTCATGTAAAGGTAAAGGGTACCCCTGCCAGTTTTGTCCAACTCTAAAGGGCAGTGCTCATCCCTGTTTCTTAATCGAGGGAGCCAGTGTTGTCTGAAGACACTTCCATGATCATGTGGCCAGCATGATTATACGCCAAGGTGCATGGAATGCTGTTGTGTGTGTTACTCACACTTGCGTGCTTTCAAATTGCTAGGTGGGCAGGAGCTGGAGCAAGGAACAGAAGCTCACCCTCGTCCTGCGGGCTCGGGGCTCGAACCCAGGCTGTCAGCTTTCCAGCAGACAAGTTCAGCGTTTTTAACCACTGAGCAATCACACCCCCAAGTCTCATATATTTAATACTAAATCATGGCTTTGTGTTACAAAAGTCCTGGACCAATGTTTTATTTCAGTGCAACCAATGAAAAAGCCCACAGTAAGGGAAGTGCAGTCAGAAAATCACAGTCTTGTTACCAGGTGTAAACTATCCATCCAGAACAGCTGCAAGGCTGACTCAGGACGAGCCTCAACCCCTCAGCCTTTCCCCACCTGCATTGTGAGAGAAAGTGCACAAAACTCCATCAGACCGACCTTTCTTCTTCAAACTCCTTCCCAAAAAGGATGTTGTCTCTAAGCGTGGCGTTGAGAATCCAGGCCTGTTGGGCCACATAAGCAAAGTTCCCATCCACGGCAATGCTGCCTTCCAACAATGTCATCTGAAAAAGCAGCCACAGGCCTGTCAAGGATACTGCCTCCAAGTCTCATCAATAAAGGAGAATATTTGTAGCTCAGGATTGAAATGAGGGCTCCTTGGTGCTCTCTGAGCTTGGTTGTTTTCTTGTGAATGTTTCATTACCAAACTAGTAATGAAGTGCTAGAAACATCTGCAAGAAAACAACCAAGCTCAGAGAGCACCAAGGACCCCTCAAAGTCTTGTGTTACATTAACTCGTTCATTAATTTTATTGATTAGCCCTTGGACCATATCAAAGTGCAGAGTTCCAGAAACAAATTATTACTAAAATTTGATAAAAGCAATTTAAGCAATTCAAAGTCTTATAAATTCCTGCCCCTCCCTCTCAGACTCTTCTTTCCCTCTCCCACCTCCCACTTCTGGAGACAGGCCAAACTACCACGTCCCAAAAGACATTCTTGCCTCATTTTTACAGATTTTTGTAAGCCCAATAAAACTTTGGGGGATTAGATATCTGGGGATAGATTGTTCCATTGAAGAAGGTCATCACAAATAAAGCCTACGTATTGGCTCCCTGCGCTTGGCCTTCTTTCAAAGAATTAACTGGTGAAGCCCTGTCTCAGCCCAAAGAGCAAGATCGGAGATGCTCTAAGATTGAGGTGCAACATAGGCCAAGGAGACGTCCACTTCCCTGGGTATGGTGTTATTAGTTATTAATATGGAGCCTCGGTGGCACAGTGGTTAGAGTGCAGTACTGCAAGCTACTCCCACTGCCATTTGGCAGATCCAATCCCACCAGGCTCAAGGTTGACTCAGCCTTCCATCCTTCCGAGGTCAGTAAAATGAGTACCCAGATTATTGGGGACAAGAGGCTGACTCTGTAAACCGTTTTGAGAGGTCTGTAGAGCACTATAAAGCGGTATATAAGTCTTATTGCTATTAGGTACCTCCTCTGCCTGGACAGAGGCCTCTCCAATCAAGATGAGGGATAGGCAATGGGATGGGCCACCTGGGCCATAGATTGATACTCCCACACTTGTATGAGTGACATGCAAGAAAGCAAGAAGTCATGGCTTGGGACCAGGTTCTTTGAAGGACCAGTTACATCTACTTAATGGCAACTCTAAAAAGACCATAGAAATATTTTATAAGTTGACCTTTTGAAGTTTTGGAAGTTTGGCTCGAGACTCATGATTTAATTGGGGTAACTGCCGGAATCTTGACACTCAACACACCAGAGAGAAGGGCCACGGTATGTTGTGGGTCCCTTCTCTTAAGCAGGTCCACCTAGTGGGATCATGAAGAAGGGTCTTCTCCATGATGGCTCCCTCCTTGTGGAACATCATCCCTGTGGAGAGAAGCCTGGCCTCCAACTTGATACTCTTTCAAAAGGTCCCGAAGACATAATTTTGGACCTCACGGTGACGGGGAGCCAGTCAAGTGGTTGATTTTACTGTTGTCACCAGTGGGAATGAGACTTTCTTAGACTTTGCTCTGGAGTTTTTATTTCTGCAGAAGACCTGGAGTCACCTTGAGGGAGTTGGGAAGCCATATAAATGTTCTTCATAAATAAAGCCTCTCTAGAGTACGCAGGCTGGTCACCATATGCCTGGTGTAATGGTGCACACTAAGCCAGTAGAACTTTAAATCATATTGCTACTGGAAGCTGAAAACTGCTGGAAATACCTTTGCAGTCTGGTTTTTACAATTTAAAGGAAATGTAACTTCTCTGTGCTATCAAGTCTTGGAAGAAGAGAGAATTTCACAACGGAATACAATCAGTTATGCCTGCCAAATAGCACTGGAAAGAAAGCAAACTGATTTGCTGTCAACCTTAATATTGTTTCCAACAAAAGGGTAACAACAAATCCAAAATAGATTTTTTTTTAATGTAATTTTCTATCAACTCCCAAGGGACCCAAAAACACTCTGGTCGTATCCTCTCTTTCTGATTCCACTGGACAGGAAGATTCAATCCAGAAAAGATGGTTAATGAGTGTAACGTTTTTTTCACAGTCAAAGGACAACAAAAGAAAGAAAGAAGAACCAACAACTTACAAAAATAGTTTTTTAAAAGAGTAGTGGTATCTCACCTGTCCCAAAATGGCTGAAATGAGTGAGGTTTTCCCACTCCCCACGCTGCCACATATCCCAACAAGTTTCCCCTAGATTGGATCAGCAAAAGGGGAAGAAAAATTAGTGCATGATGAAGCACACAAGAAAGTAATGCTATTTACCACCCAATTATTTAATAAACATTAAACAAAATCCAATTACTGTATGTAATATTAGTGGATGATGATATTATTTCCTGCAGCCCTGAGCATATAAAGATTTTTTTTTGCTTAGATGACCAGCAGCCAATGTCTCCTTGAAAGAAAACCTGCACTAAATGGATAGCAAAACCCTGTGGAGATTTCCTCAGTCCTCTGCCCTCAAGCAAGCTGACTGCCAAAGATACCACTGAAAGGAATCAATTTGAACTTTTCCTTTATCAAACTCGTGACTCAAGTTGTTTGAAGTCATGTAGAACAGACATCTTTGCATAAATATATGAAAATGCAGCTGCCAAATATTATCAGAACTAATCTGAAATAAAATTGTTGCTCCAGCATATCTGCTGTGTGCCCAACTTTCCAGAAGATAAATATTTCATTGTGATGAAAATAATTTTGTAACACAAAGGGCAAACTTGTCCCTAGATAACCTAGGCTTATGTGTATCTGTCAGTCTTTCCTTCAGCTGGCAAATAGTTGACTCTGGTTAGTTTAGGCCATAATACAGGAAGTTCTCGACTTACAATCACAATTGAGCCTGAAATTTCTGTTGCTAAGCAAGACAGTTGACAAGTCCAAGTGAACATAACGTGCTTAATGCACTGCAGTGCGTATCAAATGACTTGTTACTCTCTGTAAACATATAGCAGTCAAAAATGCACTAAAAATAAAAGAGGAACACAGCAACAAAAACAAATACAAGCAGAACCAGAAAAGGAAAGCAAAACTGCTCCCCTCAACACAAAACACATAATTTGGATATAGGTAGTCCTCAATTTACAACCAAATGCGTTTAGCAACTGTTCAAAGTTACAACAGCCCTGAAAAATGTGACTTACAACCCGTCCTTGCAATGATAAGCATCGCAGCATCCCAATGATCACGTGACCAAAATGTGAGCCCTTGGTAACCAGCATGTATTTACATCAAGCGGAGGATCACACAATCATGTGTTTGACATTTATGACCTATTCAGCCTGGCTGCCGACATACAAAATGAATGGGGGAAGCCGGGTTCATTTAATAACCTCAATTCACTTAACTGCAGTGATTCACTTAACAACTCTGACAAAAAAGGTTGTAAAATCTAGCACACCTCAATAACTGCCTTGATTAACAAAGGAAATTCTGGCCCCAGTCGTGGTTGGAAGTCTAGGACTACCTGTATATACAAATACATTTGTAATGTGAATGAGAGATTTTAAAATTTCATAGCCAACTTGATATTCCAAAGACCTTTATAGAGAAGGAAGGAATCTATTTGGTTCACATAAAAAAGGAAGCCAAATGGTTATAAAGTAATACTTAACTATTTGTTTCATTGCTTTGATTTCCTACCCATCCCCAAAGGATAGGAAATGTCTAGCATTTTTCTTACAGTTCATAAATCTAGCATCTAGCAAAATAAATAAATAAATATGGCATTGATCCCTTGTATTAAACCATTTTACATGCAGTAGGGAAATGCAGTACAGCTAAATTAGCCCTGATAATTAAAGACTGTTGAGGCATTTTCCTAACTTGCTCAACAATCAATCAAGATTGATTCCTAAGTTTATTTATTTATTTTATTTACATACAGTTTTGATCACCATGACATAAAAAAGAAGTTGAGATTCTAAAAAGAGTGCAGTGAAGAGCAACAAAGACAGTTAGGAGGCTGGAGGCTAAAACATATGAAGAACTTGAGGATTTGGGTATGTCTAGTTTAATAAAAAGAAGGAGTATTGATAGCAATCTTCCAATATTTGAGGGGCTGTCACAAAAAGAGGGAGTCAACCTATTCTGCAAAGCACCTGAAGGCAGGAAAAGAAGCTATGTATGGAAACTCATCAAGGAGAGAAGCAACCTAGAACTAAGGAGGAATTTCCTAACCGTTAGAGCAATTAATCAGTGGAATGACTTGTCTCCAAAGTTATGGAAGCTTCATGAAATGGTATAAGGTTTCCTGCTTGAGCAGGGGTTGCACTGAAGACCACCAAGATTCCTTCCAATTCTGTTACTCTATTTATTTGGGTTTAATAAAAAATTATTTACCTGCTGCCTATCCCACCGTGGGGCTAGTGTAGACAGCTTAGAACAGGGGTGTCAAACTCATGTCATCACAGTGTCGTCATGTGATGTATTGCGACTTTTTTTCCTCTTCGCTAAACCGGGCGTGGGTGTGGCCAACGTGTGGCGTGAGTTTGACAGCCCAGGGCTTAGAACAATAAAAAGGAAGAAATGAAAAGAAGTGCAAATAAAACAGAGGTAAAGTATCAGAACAATAAAATAAAAAATGGAAAAGGCACAATAAGAGTACATCTTATTGTGGGGACCGGGGCTGCAATCTCTTCTTTGTTGAAAAAGCAGCCCTTTGGGGGAGGGGGAATTAGCACCATGCCACTTCCTAACTAGAGAGAGAGGGAGGGAAGGAGGGAGGGAGAGAGAGATGGGAAAGGAGAGAATTACTTCCTCACCTTCTCAATTTCCAGGTCGACGTTGTAAAGTACCTTCTGCAGCCGGACATTTGCAAGCTGGATACGCTGGGTCTCCTCCTCGGGGCTCGGGGGGTCGCTATCCACCAAAAGATGGCCTTTCTGCTCCGTGAACATGGTCTGCCGTCCCTCGTGTTGCTGCAGTTTCCTCTTGTCTTTGGTGCTCATGGCCGTCTTGCCCTTTTTCATTTTAGGGGTCATCTTGGGTGAGCTCTGGACACTAGCATGGGAGGATTCCCAGGCTAAGGTGGCATTTGTCATCTGTATGGCTGCGTGAGGACTGGCTGGTTTTTTCTTTACCATATGAACCTCTTCCATTAGAAACAAACTCTGATAGGAGTTGTGAGAGAGGTGCAAAGATGAGACACCTGGTCAAGACTGAGGGGGGGACAAGTCTACGGCACACTCACGCAGCAAAACACATCAGGCTATACAGTGCGAGGAAGCTGAAGAGCAAAAGGTAGCTCATTAGTGAAAACTAACGCCAGATCCTTCAGAAGGACCTGGTTGACCCACAAATGCAGTGTTCCTCAGACAGAGAGACTTAAGACTCATTTGGCAGGTGAGAAATTTTGTTCGCCAGAAACACCACCAGCTTAAATGGGTGAGAGCACCAGCTCAACCCAGGTTCAAAAAAAAAAAAAAAGCTTAATTCTCTGTTGTACAAAAACCAGGCACTTTTGGAATGTGACTGTGTGTTATCACTGATGACCAAACAGCATTGTTAAAAGCCAGAGCCTCTATGTCACGTTTTCCACTGCATCCGTCTTTCAAAAATATTCTGCAGTATTTATTCAACAGTTTACACAGAAAAACCAAAACACAGTTTGAGTTAGTTAAACAACAAGTATTTCCAAAGAAACTTATTTCTTTAATGACTCCCATCCCCACCCCAGAATAATTATGGGACTGGCACTGAAATGATCCATGGATAAGCAAACTATAAGCCTCTGTCTTAAGAGATAACATTACTGGTTTTCTCTGAAGGGTTCCTCTTTCCCTACCTTCTTTTAACTAAGATTTAGCATCCTGCATATTTCAAAATGATAGTGTTCTCGCCAAGAATAATAAAATTATTCCACCGGCCTAAAGATTTGCTTGCTTGATGGAATTCCTGGATATTCAAATGACAGACCTAAAAGCAATTTACAGTTCAAAGCATATATACAATGCCTTCATACAATCTCAGGTAGAAACTTCTGCTGATAACATAGTTCTATGGTGAAAAAAAGTTGGACATTAGCTAGTTTAAGCACAGTAAGAGCGGAACTGCAAACATTCAGAAACCAAGGGGTGGGGGGGAATGAAAATTGAAGAACGCATCTTAGTGGGGCTGTTCTCAATATTTGCCAGGTTATGTTCTGAAATGCACTTTAAACGTAATTGTGATGAAGCCCAACAGCCAGACTAGCTTTCCATCTCAATGAACTATGCATGCTAAAATCTTCAGCAACTCACAAGAGTTCCCTTATAGACAAGCAAATATGGAAAACTTTTTTTTAAAAAATGAAAATCACTGCCGAGAAATTTGATACTGTAAGCTATCATAAGGCATGCTGCAGGTTGCATTCTACAAGATTCTGCATGCATGTATCATGCTTCATTATCATGCTTTAAATTTATTTAAATCCTGCAATCCTATTCTCTCTTTGACTTGGTAGTCCACTGAATGCAATTAATTACTAACGTTAGGGATGTTAGTCTTATGCAGCAAAATGGGCACTTTGGCAAACTTTCACCAAGTAGAATTTCAGGATGTTTAGCTCATGCTCCTTGTGGTGAGAATAAAGCGATGAAGGTAGCAAGAGATTTAATATGTATTTTAGAATATGCAAAAGGACCCAACCAAGTAGTAAAATACGTCAAGGCAAGGATGACTTACTTTAAATCTATCAGCTGCAACAGAAGCTTCAGACAAGGACTTCACAGAAAACGGAGTGACTTTCAAAGCAAAAGTCATGGAATTGAACACTGTCACCACTGTAAAAGCCTGAAACACAGACAAAAATAAGCAGTTTTTGACTGTAGCAGCAATAAGAAGCCTTGTGTAAAATCAAAGAATTGTTAGGGATACACCCTAGCAGAATCTGCATGGCAGTCAGGCAGGCAGGCAAAATATGTGAGATAAACGTTTTTGTAGCTTACATTCAGTAAAACAGATACACTGTGCTAGTTAAATAGTTTATTCCAGTAAGAGTTTTAGCATTGTCAAAACAGTCCATATATCATTCACTAGTTCAGTCCGTCCGGGGATTATTCAGTTGCAAAGTCCAGTGTCGAAAAAGAGAGGTCAGTAAACTTACAAATATCAGTCCAGTAATATATCTCCTCGCAGTAGAGGTATGAAGAAGTCAAAACTCCTTTCTTCCTTCGACGTTCAAAAAACTCAGCAGTAGGGAACACGCAGTCCAGTAAACCAGCAATCGTCAGCAATCAATCAGGTTCTTTTGCTCCCTCTTATGGCGGTTTCACACCGCACCCAAAATTACATGCTTTGCAGTTTAAAGTGACACACACTTAAACTTACTATCATAGTTTATATATATTATTTTACCCAAACTACGTTAGGTAATCTATGTTATTCCTAACAAGAATGTTTAGCTAATTGGCAACAGTGACAGTATTCTTTCAGGTTAAAAAAATATTCTGCAGAGTGCCTGGGATTTTCTGCCATTCTTCCCTGCAAATTCTCTCAGGCTCAGTCAGGTTGGATGGTGACTGTTAGTGAACAGCCATTTTTACATCCCTCCATAAATGTTCAACAGGGGTCAAGTCAGGGATCTGGCGGGGCCACTCTAGGATATTCACAGAGTTGTCCTTAAGTCACTCCTGTGTTGTCTTGGCTGTGTGCTTAGGATGTCACGAGGGAAAGTGAACCTTCAGGCCAGTCTGAGGTCTTGAGCGCCAAGGAACAGGTTTTCATTGAGGATATCCCTATAATTTGCTCCATTCAGCTTTTCCTCAACCATGATCAATCTCCCAGTCACCGCTTCTGAAAAACAACCTCCAGCATAGCATGATGCTGGCATCACCACACGTTCTGAATGCACTACAACTACCAACTGCTAACAAGAACAAAAGAAAGCAGGTATCATTCAGCTGATGACCCGGATGTTTTTCATTCTTCCCAAAAACTATTCATAAGAGGAAGAACACAGCTGGACTTGTTTTAATCCCTAATTATAGTAAGTATGACACTCAGATGTCCCATGGAGGATTTTCGTGAAACATGAATACTGCAGTGTAAGACCAACAATCCAAATCCTTTTTAGCTTAAGAATTAAATTACACTGCACACTGAACTACATTTTTGGCACAAAAATCTGACCTCTCAGTCAATATGTATGTCTCCAGAAGAAATAGATACTCTGTCTAAGTTATTTTCAGATATTACTGAAACCATAAGATAAGTCTACTTGGAACAATAAAAAATACAGAAAAGAGGGACCTGCAGGAACATTCCAAAAAGATACCAGCTTTTCTTAATACCTACTGCAATCAGAAACAGAAAAGACTACCACAGATGCTGATCACAGCTACTATTATACTGGAGGATGGTTTTTTTGTGTCTTTGTTTTTTTGCTTTTTTTACTACCGGTAGGTTCATTTTAGTTCCTAAGTCATTACAGTCATTAATTATAATCTTCATGTAGGACTAACCCAGTCTCCTAGCAACTTTTCAAGGCGTAAGACAGGGGTGTCAATCTCACCACGTCACATTGCCGTTATGTGACTTATCGTGACATTTTCCCCCTTCACGGAGCTGGGGTGGGGGTGGCCTGCGTGTGACGCATCTGGCCCATAGGCCACCAGTTTGACACTCCTGGCATAGGAAAACAGTATGCAAAGTTGGATCAAACCAGGTGAGAAAAGCATAGTTCATTGTTTTTCAACCTTGGCCACAAAAAGAGGTGGATTTCAACTCCCAGAATTCACCTGCCTGCCTTGCTGGCTAGAGAATTCTGGGAGTTGAAGTCCATACATCTTCAAATAGCCACAGTTGAGAAACATTGGCACAGATGATTCCAAATCCCCAAAGTTATCATTTCACATGCCTGATGTAAACACTATCTACCTCTAAAAATTACCTGGGCTGCTGTGAGATCATAGCCGAGGATCATATGAACAGAGAAGGTCACCACACTAGCTATCACTACAACGATGGGTGCCACTCCCACAGTGATGCTCTGGAAGTATCCTGCACGCTCCAGAATTTTGCGTTCTTCCTCTCTGATTTCTAGGAAGAGGAAGCAAAGATTAGTAGAAGATTAAATTAATTGCCAAGTTAACTGTGGTTTTGTCATCTGCAGGAACCACACTTACAGCAGATGAAAATGAAAATGCAAAAGGGGACATGATTTAGACTTTTTAAAAGAATTGATTTCCATTCAGATTGGCCCTCCCTGGCAACAAAAATATAAGCTCAATTTTATCCTATGATTAGTCATGCAAATGTAATAACAGTAGAAAAGCCAAAGAAACCTTGATGAAGATTCTCAGTAATCCAGGTAGAATTGTCTGAAAGTTGAATTATAGCAACTGGATTTATTTTCTTGTGGGTTTGACGCCATCCAAGAAGAAGCAAAACTTTTCAAACCCACAAGAAAATACTGGTATTCCTTCGCTTACAACAGTTCATTTAGTGACTGTTCAAAGTTGCAATGGCACTGAAAAAAGTGACTTTATTATGACCATTTTTCACACTTTTTCACAACCATTGCAACATCCTCATAGTCACATGATTAAAAAAAAAAGGAGGCAACTGGCTCGTATTTATGACGGTTGCAGAATCCCTGAGTCATGTGATCACATTTTGTAATCTTCTGACAAGCAAAGTCAAAGGGGAAGCCAGATTCACTCAACAACCCCTGTTGCTAATTTAACAACTGCAATGATTCACTTAACAACTGTGGCAAGAAAGGTTATGAAATGGGGCAAAATCCAATAATTGTCATGTTTGGTCACAAAAACGTTGGGCTCAATTGTGATCGTAAGTCAAGGGCTACCTGTAAGTCCGGTTGCCAACTTTTAGACAATTCTACCTGGATGACTGAGAATCTTCATTGACATATTGCCATGCACTTTGGGGGAGAAATCATGAAGCTGGTGAAAGAACATTCCTAAGAATTTTAGGAGTTGGCACATTCCAACAATTCTTTGCCTACTCAGATACCCCTAACCAACTTGTTGAGACTGGAGAAGCTGCTTGGATGGCCAGCAAAACATCTCAAACCAGCCAGAAATTAAGTCCAGTTTCCATGACTCAACTTTCAGACAAACAAATGTCCCTTGTGCATACCCAGTATCTGCAGCAGCACCAGCAACGTTTACATGTCATTTCACTGTTCAAAGAGGAAGCAAAAGGAAGACAAGTGGATGAGACAGTGAAGAAATTAAAAAAAAAAAAAACTCACTTTGAACAGTCTGTGAAAAGGCTTTCACCCAAGCATACATTTTGATGAATTTAATGTAGTTAAGCACTTCATTCATTTTCTGGACCCGTTCATCAGTTACAGCCACACATTTCCTTCTGAAATAAGCTGTAAAGCGGGATGCAAACATCTGGAATCGTAAGAAAGATAATATCATCATAACAAAAGGTGCAGACTCTTTCAGCCAATATACATACAATAGAGATCAAAAGCATCATCTACTGAATGAATTAGCTAATAGCTTAGAACAGAGTTTCTCATTCACATTTTCATAATTTTTGTATGGACTTCAACTCCCAGAATTCCTCAGCCAGCATCCTGGTTAGGGAAGTTTCAAATATTTCATATATTCACAATATATTGGTCTCTGTTTCAATACTCATCAGTGATTTGGCTTTTAAACGGATAGTTTTCTACTCACCATTGCAGGATAGAAGAGGATGAAAACAGCCGAACCTAGGAAGCCTGTTGGTCCAAGAATTACAACGTTGTAAACCATGCCAAGAATGGCAACGATAGGACCTCCAGCCAACAAGCTACCCACAGCTGCAGCTTCGAACATTCTCTGGCCATCATTGGAGCATATATTTATGAGCTGAAATGTACACAGTGCAAATCAGAAATTATCAAGGGCACAGGACAGAAAACAACCATGTCTTCTCTATTGTTTAGATTGAACAGATACAGGAAAGAAAAGTAGTGTACAAGTAGTCCTCAACTTATAACCACAACTGAGCCCAAAATTGCTGTTACTAAGCGAGACAGCTGTCAAGTGAATTTTGCCCCATTTTACAAACTTTCTTGTCATGAATCATGTTAGGGACACAGATGTTAAGTGGCTTCCCTCTTGACTTTGCTTGTCAGAAGTTTGCAAAAGGTGACTGCATGACCCCAGGACTCTGTAACCATCATAAATAGGAGCCAGTTGCCAAGCATTCCAATTTTGATCATGTGGCCATGAGGATTTTACAATGGTTGTAAGTGTGAAAAATGACCACAAGCCACTTTTTTTCAGCACCATTGTAACTTTGAACAGTTACTGAACAAGCTGTTGTAGGTCAAGAACTACCTTTGTGCTATTTTATTCATATATGGCCTATTCAGTGCTAATATGCAATGGAAAGGCAGGATATCAATTTAACCACTGATAAAATGAGACCCACTGTCAGGTGCCAATAACCTGGAGCATTCATTGGGTTCAAAGCACAGAAGAGTCTATTATTGGTACTTTTAATAGAAGAGCCAAGTCAACTAATGACCAAAACTAAATTGGCACTAGATAAGGGTCAATGGAATTCACAGGGGGCTGAATTTAAGTCTTTGGTGGCAATACAATGACTTCAAACTGATGACACCTTTAACCCAGCCTTCCAGTTCAGCCTGTCCTTCTCCTACACCCAGCACCATTTTAACTTACCTCGCCCAAAGATTTCTCCTTGATATTTTTCAGTCTGAGTATTTTCTTGAAAGCCATTGTAAGGATAGCTCCACGCAGCCTGACCCCAGTGCGATAGTTTAAAGCCCATGTTAACGCCAAAGACCAGGAACGAATTACTTCTGTTATTAAGAGGCCCAAAATTAACAACAGGCTGTATTGTAGGTTGGGTTCCGTTTGCTGAGTATATTCAAGAAGATGTTTCACCATAAACGCCTACAGGGAGAAAGGCAATACTGCATGAACATCCTAGCATGTTAGAGGTACCATTCAAAATTTATTTTTTTTATGTTAAGTTAGAAAAAAGGAGCTATTTGATTTCAGATTGGAATTTTTATCATTAATCGAAAGACTTCCGAGAGGTAATAACTGCAGGTATTAACAGCCTACTGAATCTCCAAAAGGGAATCAAACATATCAGGCAATGCGCAATAATTTGAAATCTCCCAATTCTTTACGCTGCCCCATTGCTGCTCCTTCACACATTGTCTAACTTAACATAAACCTGAAAGTTAGCTGAAACAATTCATCATCGCTGTCAATTTTATAACATGTACTTTCTTGCAAAAACTGAGCATATTACAAACATAACACCTTTATTATTCTTTCTTTCAAACGTGCTTATTTGAGAAAAAGGAACAAATGTACCTACAGTTGAACTGGGGAAGAGTGTGAGAAGGACATTTTGCAAAACATTCCTGAAAATTAAACATCAGCAGTTTAAAAGTAAAGAAAAGGACAAGCAGAAAAAGAAAAAAATCATATTAGGAGATACCAATTTAAAAAAATAAAAAAACCCACCAGCCCTCAACCCTCACTACCCCCCATCCTCCCTCCTTTTAAAGACAAAAACAATTTTACCTCAGGAATCACAATTTCAAAACACCACCTGCAAAAAGAGAAAAACAGCTCCCAGGCCACAAATTGTCTATTTCATTTTCATTGGCCAAAAGGACAGTGTGGTCCATTACAACTCAGATTCATGAGCAATATTAAGTACTAATAAATGGGAAGCAGGAAATTTTTTATTTGCAAACAAACCAGTAGTATCTTATGAAAAGTGAGTAGTAGCATGTCACAAACACTGTACAAAAGAAAAGAAAGGTACGGTGGCAGAACGTACAATCGGCATGCACAACAAAAGATTACACAAGGCCTGAATCCAACTCAAGCTTCCAACACAAAATCGAGCTCACATTTTGCAAAGACACAAAAAAATTAAATATTACAAGAAAAAGCAGGACCAGTGTTTGTTCACAAGTCCATGGAAGAGGGAAACATTGGCGGCTAATGATCTCCATGGCCAGATGTGTTTCCCCCTTTTGGTTTAACACGGCTTTGCTAGACGGAAGATTTTTCAGCTGGGCATTTCCAACAATAAAGACATCTACACATTCTGGAGCTTAAGGTTCTTTAATCAAAGGCAAGAAGTACGGTTGCCCACCACAAAAATGCGAAAGGATGGAGATGCTTGGGGTGGATTTCTGAAGTCTTTAGGAAGTCCCCACGGCTACAACTGGCTTTGCAAATCAGTGTTCTGGACAACAATGGGTGCAAGCCCAGGCTTGTCAAGGAAGGAGCAGAAGCTCAGGATCAAGTTAAAAAGTGAAGGCAAGGACCACGAACAAGTCCCAAGGTGGCTGATTCTGAATTTCCAACTGAGAACTCACTCGGTAGGATTCCTCCCCCGAGTTTTCATGCGCACATGTCAACAGCCGGACGTCCATCATGTGCCCAAAGCGGTCCAAAAAAGGACAGAACGAGCAAAAAAATAAAAAAGGACCTCAAGCAAATCTCTGATCACAGCACACGCTCAGATTCCAAGGTCACACTACGCCAGCTTGTTCCTCCATTGCTAGGATTTTACTTTCTCTCCATCCGAAACACAACTGGCTATTTTGTATGGTCGATGCTATTTAGCAACAAGATTGTTGGCTTCTGGTGCAGGATTCAATCCATCAACTGAAATCAAGTCACTGGCAGCGTGAATAATCTTTCGGTGCTCTACTTTCATAACCTATGACCCGACATGCTGACAAGGGCTGCCAACATTTTCTCACAAACCCACTTGATACAGGAAGAAATAGGGATAATATTTGCAACATCAGCAGGAACTCTCTTCTACCGTACTAACTAGAAAGTAAGAGATTTCCAGGGAAGAACAACAAGGTGGCTTAGGGTGTTGTTGTTGTTTTTTGTTATAGATGTAAAGAAAGTAGTGGCAGAAAGATCAAAAGGGAAAAAGAAACAATATATGCAATCTTAAAAACATTGTTCTGGTTAAAATCATGACGAGAACAATCAGCATATTGTTTCCATTTAAAAACATAACAGTAACCCCAAGCTAGCCGAAGCGTAGAAAATTATCCCTGAAAACTATTCCTGAAATTATTCATGAAAACTATTAATGGTAGCAGCTGCCCTAAGCTAGCCTGGCTGTCATAAACATTCCCACAAATAAACATCACCTTACCTTCCATCTTGGCGTTTTGGCTTCTGCCCAGCTTGACTGTCTCATTCTGATCGCAGAATACAGCCATCCTGGAAATTCTAAAGAACAGCTTCTGTCATTGGCTCCACTACAGAGAAAACTCTCCCAGATTCACATCCAGCCTTTTACAGCCGAAAACAAGCTGCAGCTGGAATGAACTTGGAAGAGTGGGAGGCTTACCTTAAATGGCTCTCCCCACCAGTCCACCCCTTTCCCCCATCCCACAATGCCCTCTGCAAAAGAGACCTGGGAGCATCCCTCACTCAATGCTTTTCAACAAGAATTTCAATGTCCTATGGAAGCCAAGGCAAGGTTTGGAAAAGGTTTTAAAAAATAAAAAAATAAAAATGCTGATTCTGAGGGCTATTTAAAAAAAAAAAATCTAAGCTGCTTCAGTAGGTTGTGGGGCAAACCAGATAGCAGACAAGAAATTCCTGAACCTATTTTACTTAAAAAAGAGGACAGACTGTTTTGCAAGTCTGGAATATACAAGGAACCCAGGAACAACAGCATGTTGGGTTTTAGGGATTTTTACCACCAATAATTTCAACAACCTCACTAGAACTGTAGGTTTTTGGACCTTCAAATGTGAATACTAGTTTGCAAAAAAAAAAAACCTAAAAAATTCATTTTTATTTACCAATGCAAAGAGGTAAGTCAAATTTCTTCTTTGATCTATTCCCACATGGATCAAAAGCAAACCAACCCAACCCATGGAAATTCCTTTGATTGCCAAAGGGTAAAGATAAGAATTCCCTTTGTACTCCAAACAAGGGAATTAATTTGAGTTATAGAAATTCCTGGAGAATGGAGGATGCATACAAACAATTGCATATATCCCAATTCAGGACAAACTGCCTGCTGCTTGTTCCTTCTTGTCCTGTGTTTCAGATGGGCTGATGCTGTGCTAAACGAAGATGACAATTCAGTTGCCCGCTCACTCTCTGCTTGGCCTTAAGAGCATCCACGGGGCTCTGTAGTGAAACAATGACAGAAGCTCTTCTTGGGGGAACTGGTTCTGTTAAAACCTCATTCTTATTAATAGCATATCCAGTGAAACGACTCATGAGAGCTTTTATTCCCAATACAACAACAGCAACAAAGACTGAGAAACACAATTTACTTCCTTCTTAATAAGAAATGCAAGCAAACTTTTCAGATTTAAGGATGGGATAGGATTGGGTGGGTGTTTTTTTTTTTAAGAGACAGAAGACAAAACTGTTTCAACATTAACCTCAGCTGTACTTACCCAGAGCATTGAACCTTCCCGTTTATCAGCAAACTGAAATGTGTACTACAAAGCAATAACACTGCTCCTACTCCTCAAGGGAAATTTGTAGAGAATAGATTTAGTCAAGATGTCAAAGAGTAAATTTGGCACAGCAGGTGCAACAAACAGGCGAAAAGAAAATGCTGTGAATATGAAGACCTATGTTACACGCTCTTCCTCATCAACCAACATTGCTGGAAGCAAATCTAGTCATGCCACTGGGACCTGCCCAACTGTGTTTTCACACGTTGAACAATGCTAGCTCTATAAACTCCTATGAACCCTGGTTCCTAAGGACCTTAAAACGTAATGTGTCACCACCATTCAGTTCCACTTCTTCGAAAGAGAGAGCCAAGCAAATAATATGACTTTATTCATGATTAACTCAGGAAAGTTCTTTGCCCTCCCCTCTCCAGCTACAGCCTCTGAAAACAAACAATAAAACTTTAGGCCACACAAAAAGCAAGAAAAAGAGAGGGAGGGAGGAACGAAAAAAGGGAGGGAAAGAGGAACAAAGGAAAGAGAAGGGAGGGAGGGAGGGAGGGAGGGAGGGAGGGAGGGAGGAAGGAAGGAAGGAAGGAAGGAAGGAAGGAAGGAAGGAAGGAAGGAAGGAAGG